CCGTGCCCCTGCCCAGGAGCCCAGAGCAGGACAGCAGCCGAGGCCTGCTTCAGAGCTGGGGTGGGAGGGGAACCTGAGCTTGGTGGAGAACTCTGTACCTGCCTAGGCAGCACTATGGCCTCACTGTGGCTGGCCTCTCCAGCTGCTTTTCCCTGCTGGCCAGGGAGCCTGCTAGAACCTGTTCTGGGGGCAGCCTGGAGCTCCCCTGTATTCTCTGGGAAGCCTCTTCCCCTTATTGCACTGTGGCCCAATCCTCGCTGCCCCCAAGTGACCTTGTCATTCTGCCTCTGGAGGCTGGGCCTGGGCATCCTCACCCTTGCCCTCAGAAGTGCTTGCTGAGAACGTCCCTCGCTTCCCTTTCTTCTGCTGTGGAGGGTGGCATTGCCTGCACCAATGCCAGGCTAGAAGGGCTGGTGGCGCAGGGCCGAGAGAAGCTGTCTCCAAGGCAGTACAGTCCCCATTTCACAAAAAGAGTGACCTCTGCCTCTTCACACAGGTGGCAGCAAGGTGGTGGCCCTAAGCCCCAACCGGTCTGGCTAGTTTGTGGAACATGTTTGTTTCTCTAGAGACAGGACATCCTGCTGCTGTGAGGCTTGGACCTGCAGCCTGCTCCACCTACCTGTCTCGGATCCTGGGCCACAGGTGATGGCAGGTCAGGTCAGGCGGGCCGGGTTGGAGCAAGGCAGGCTGTTCCTGGCCCCATCCTGAGTCCCTGAGGGTACCCAGGCTCTTCCTAGCAGCAACCCAGAGGATGGGGGGCCTGTTACCAGGCGGGAGTGGACAGTGGTCCCTCCCCACTGCTGTGCCAGATGGAAGGACAAGCCCATGGTAGGCCACCAGGTGCCTAGCCCAGCTCCCTCCTGGAGAGGAGCTGAATGAGGAGCCTGGTGTTCCTCTCGATCTCTGCACACAGAGGGAGGGGCTGACCGCCCGCACCCACCTGGAGGTGTCAGCGGCGCCATCCCTGCAGTGGGAGCTCTTGCTGGGGTTTCCCTGACTGAGTCACCTTGGCCTGGCTATGCTCCGAGGCAAGGAGGTGTTTGTGAAGGTGTCAGCGTGGTGACAGCGACTCCACAGAGTTGCAGAAGCAATGGGTGAGTGGGGGCATAGGGCTCCATGGGCTGCCTGCTCTCCACTTGCTGGTACGTGGGGCAAGGTCTCCGGTCCCCAGACTGTCCCTCCTCTGCCCTCTCAGGAGGCCTGGAAACAGAGCCACCATTGACTGTCTGTAGACAGCACTGGGTGTAGACTGGGAGGCAGGAAATGGGGTCAGCTCAGCGGCCTGCTGGACCCAGGCCCCTGGGAGATGGGAATGTGGCTTCCCCTAGGCTGTGTGTCCTTGGGGCATGTGGTTCCCTGGGGCCCATCTGCAGCCCTGCTCAGCTGGCAGCAGCAGCACAAGCTGTGGGGTACGGTGTCGTAATCACAGTGTGTGGGGTGCCAGCAGCCTGTGGGACAGAGGCAGCAGTGCTGTGTGGAGGATGTGATGTGAGGAGACAAGACCCAGGGTCTTTGCCTTTTTGTGTGGGCATGGGATGGCCACTGACCCTTCAGGCAGGGATAACGGGTAGGGTGACATCTGGGAGACCTCTTGGTGCCCACATAGCCCTCTAGCCCTCTGGAGTCCCTGCTGGCCCAGGACCGGCACAGCCCTGTGTGTAAAGGGCAGGGTGCAGAAAGGGTGGCCCAGGGAAGGAAGGAGGCCTGCAGGTGCAGCCCTGCCCCCAGCTGGCCTGCAGCTACTGATGGGCCAGGATGGGCCTAGTGGATAGGGCAGCACTGCTGTCTCTGGGTGGCTTCCCTTGGAGGCCGCAGGCATAGCCCTGCCAGGAACATGCCAGGCACCTTAGTGCTGTGTTGCAGGCCTCTGTGGCTGGGTGCTTTCCTCCCTCAGTGACCAGGCTGCTGAGTGCCCAAGGCTGCCACGGGGCACAGAGCCGGCCATTCCGGGAGTGACGGGTGTGGTGGGCAAAGGCTGAGTGTGTCTGGGACAGACCTCCTGCTGCCCCAGGCTGTGTAGCCAACGCCCTTGTGCCCCATTGCTGTCGATGTCGTGGTGATGGCACTGGCTCCGGAGGACCCAGGCCCCCTGGGAGAGGCAGTGGGCTGGGTCCAGGGCCAGGGTCTGGCAGTGGGGAGGTCAGGAGGGTTCTGGCACCTGTGCCACTCACATCTGCAAGGTGGTCCACCCTCCTGTGTTGGCTGGGCGGCCTCCTGCAGTGAGGAGTGCATGTTCCTCAGACATCTTGCCCACAGCAGACAGCAGCTGCCATGGCCTGCTCCCCTAGTTCTGGTGCCTCCTTCTTGCCACCGCTCCCCTCTTCCACCCCTGCATTCTGCACTAGGAGCTGGGGAGAAAGTTGCACACCCCATAGTCCCCTCTGACTGTGGGTGGGGCTGGGCTCACAGAACAGGGCTGTTTCCAGAGGCCCCGCCCGCCTCATCCTGCTTCCTGCAGCTACTCAGTCTTAGGCCAGAGTGCCAGCAGCTGGATCTGAGAGCAAGGAGCAAGCTGGGCCTGGTGTGGCAGCTCTTGAGCAGCTGCTTGATGTCAGGCGCTGTGCCAGGTAGTAGGGACCCAGAGATGAAGCGTGGACAAGCCTGCCCTCTGCCCACTGCCGGGCTGCTGGGGATCCTGAAGCAAAGGGACAGCTGGGTTGGCCTCCTGGAGGAGGTGGTATGGGGCCACTCCCAGGAGGGCTGCAGAGTTCCTGCATGGTGGACAGGGAGTGTTTTCTGCATAGAGCAGCGCTTGACCAGCCCATGCAGGGAAAACGAGGCCTGCAGGTACCTGGCATAGTGCATGCAGGAGCATAGGACAGCAGCGCCCTGCACCCTGGGAGGAGACTAGTTGTCCTCCAGCTGCCTTGGCATTAGAGTCAGCTGAAGCCACAGCCTGTATGGAGCCAGCAGTGGCACCACTGGGACCCCGCCCCAGGCTGGGATACAAGAGCAGCCCCATCAGTGGAGTGGCCCAGCCCCAACCTTCCTGGTGGACCTGCAGCCTCAGGCAGTCCACGGCATTGGCTGCACCCTCCTTGGTGACTGCCTGTTCCGCCCACACTGCAGGCACATGGTCACCCAGCTATGGCCTGTGCTTTGTTTAGGGTTATCCAGCCAGGACCAGACTCAGCCTGGCCTTTTCTACACTTGTCCTGCCGGCATCCTGAAAGGGCACAGAGTGCATGACCGGGGGCAGCATCGGGGAGCAGAAGCCCTGCTGGAGGACCATGTCTGATCTTGGTGATCACCCGGCGGAGGAGTGTGGCAGCTGGAGATCGGGCCACAGCCCCGTGGGACTGCACAGCATAGCCAACTCAGTCTGCCCGCCTAGCCCTATGTCAGCAGTGCTGCTGGGAGGGACGGGATGAGAGTGGGAGGCAATGGCCCTGGCTCCTGGGGGCCATGCCATCTGGGAGCACCAGGCTACCCTGCAGACCCCATGCCATCCCTCCAGGCCTGGCCTCGCCTGCGCAGAACATGTGACCCACAGTGCCAGGCCTGGCGTGCCTTGCGTGCCTGGGCAGCAACAGCGGGCAGTCAGCTGGGAGCAGGAGGGGCGGGTGGGGGCAGCATCAATGGGGCTTCTGTGTGGCCAGGGCAGGGAACACATGGCCCAGCCAGGAGCCCCACATAGGCACATCTGCTGTGGCCCCACCCTTTCTCCTAGCAGGTCTGCTCCCCATTTAGCCCAGCCCAGCCTGACCTCCTCACCCTCCAGATGATTCAGCCAGCAGGCAGCACTTCCCCAGGGCTTGGCCTGCTTAATGGCTGGGCTTGCCAGCATCCTCCCCGCTGTCCTGGTCCCCAGGCTGAGCCAGGTGAGGGGCCACTGGCCGAATGGGCCTATCACACCATGGAGGAGAACATCCCTTCTCTCCCACAGGCAGGGGCCCCAGGAAGGGCCAGCCTCATGGCAGCTCTGGCCTGGAGGGGGGGCATTTCTCCTCATCCTTCATTTCCATCTCACCCTGCATGGCAGTCTCTGCTGCTTGGTTGTTGTCACACAGGATTGGGTGATGACCAGGCTGCTACCTTGAGTGTGGAGGGCACTGTCAGGCTGAGAGTAGGGGTTGGCCTTCCCAGGTGGGAACCATGCCAGGAGGCTGCTGGTCACCGGTACCTGGCCTAGTGTGGCAGCTGTTGGCCCCACAGAGCCCTCATGGTTGGGGAGCCTGACGATGTGAAGAGGGGGTTGCTGGTCTCCCTGCTTTGGGGGTACAGTGGGCAGCTGGCTCTGGGTGCCACTGTCCTAGGAACGGTATCTAGGCTAGCCTAGAGCCATTGCAAGCTGCCACCCTCAGCTTCTCCAGCTGTAGCAGGGGGTCTGGTGTGCATGCATGTGCTGTGGGGCTGGGCCCAGGGCTGTAGCTTGCCCTCACAGGAGGCAACCTAGGGCTTTCAGCTCAGGTCCTCTGACCCTGAGCCTGGCATTTCCCACTCTGTCCCTGCAGTCAGTAGACATGCTGATAAATAAACTCATTGATGCATAATTAATCCTGCTCTTTCCAGACGTGATCTCATGCGTCCTGCCGAGGCCCCAGCAGGGCTGCTCAGCAAGCGCTTCGGGGACTTGAACCCTCACCCCCACCATCCCCTCCCCAGACCCTCTACCTCTTGGTAAGATCTGGGCCCAGAAACCTGCCTCCCTCTTCATGCTTGTCCTCTAGTATAGAGGTATAAATGGGAGATAAAGCTGGGATGAGCCTCGTGATGGGCCGAGGATCTAATATCAGGTACACTGGGCTTGTTGAAGGGACAAAAAGAAGGGCAGCATGGTTGGAAGGAGGTGATGAGGGCAGATCCCACAGGTGAGGAGCCCAGTGTGACAGAGAGCTTTGCAGGGTGTTGGGTGTTCAGGTGACAGGAAACAGAGAGGGAGGGGAGTGGGTGGACAGCAGGGTGGCTGGGTGGATGGATGAATGGATGATGGATGGCTATGTGGACGGACAGGTGGGTAGATGGTTGGATATGTGGATGGACAAATAGATGGATATGTAGATGGATGGATGATGGATGGGTGGATGGACAGATGGATGGATGCATGGATGGACAGATGGACAGGTGGATGCATGGATGCATGGATGCATGGGTGATGGCTGGGTATGTGGATCGGTATATGGATAGTGGATATGTGGACCTGTGGTTGGATGACAGATGGGTATGTGGACGGATAGATGGACAGGTGGCTGACTGGCTGGCGGGTGGAGATCACTCCTCGGTCCCCTTCATGTATGGGATTTATACTGGTCCTGAGTTGAGCCTCCCTGTGTACAGCTGTACTGATGGTCTGGGCTTGGTTGTAGAAGAGGAGATGAACTGACCAACTTAGTTACTTCTCATTACAATAACAAAATACCCAACACTCAAGAGAAGGAAAGGTTTATTTTAACTCATAGTTCGTAGGGGTTTCAGTCAGCTGGCTCCAAGGCAGGTGGTGGGCAGAGGGGCATCACAGAGGAGACAGTTGATGGTAGGGCTGGCAGGAGGCCAACAGCAGCCTGTCCTGTGGCCCTTACGTACCATCCAGCCTGCAGGCTGATGGATTGGTGCTACCCATACCCAGGGTGTGCCTTTCATCATCCACACCCAGAACTGTGCTAAACCAACCTGGCTTCCATATACCTTAACCCCAGTATTACTCCCTGGGTCCAGCAGCTCTGAAAGCCCCACCTGTGAGCACGTGAGTCTTCAGGGCACATCTAAAGACAAGCCTTCAGGACACTTGGGAAATGCCTCACTCTCAGCATACTGCAAAGACCCTCAGTTGTGAGTACCTCAAAGGACCTGGGTTCAACTGAGACCAGGAGTGGCCTAACTGTGTGTCCTGGGGAATGTGTCACTTTGGGGTTAGGCAGGCAGCCCCAGTCTCTATGCATAAGGCCTTCCTGAAGGGTTGATCTGTCTTGCGTGCCTGCTGGATGCTGCCCCATGAGCTGGGCTTGCCCTGGACATTCCTGTTCCCACCGGTCCTGGTGCTGCTGGCTGGATCTTGGTCTGGGCCTCCTACGTCCCTCCATCCTCGCCCCCTGCCCTTGCAGTTCCTGCACTGCCCCACCCCTGCTCCTGGGTGCTGTCCATCTGCCCACCATGTCCTCCCAAGCTGGGCAACTCTGCGCTTGCCCACTCCTCCCTCTTTAGGCTCTGAGGGGACTCCCGCTTGCCAGCACTGGGCCAGGTATCACAGTGTTATGTGTGACAATCTGGGTGTCTGCTGCCTTCCCCCTGTCTGTCTGTCTGTCTCCATTTTTGAGTCAGGGTTTCACTGTGTAGCCTGGGCTGGCCTAGGACTCACAGCAGTCCCCTGCCTCAGTCTCCTGAGTGCTGGGGTGATGGGTGGAGGTGTGCCAGCATAATGGGGTCTTACTTTTGTTGCCTGTGCTGGTCTCAATCACCGCCCTCAGCCTCTGGTGTCCAGGGCTTGGCTCCCTTACCTCACAGTCCTTGTTCCTTCTGGACGTAGTCAGTCTCTCTCAGCCACCTTCTCTGGTCACTGTGCCCAGCCTGGCAGGTAGCAGGCTCTGTTGCTGGGCAGTGGGAGCAGATGGAGCCAGGCTCCAGCTATGTCTGCCCATATTACACCAGGCCTCCCTGGAGCTGCCTCCTGCCTTCTACCCCCTCAGAGCCCAGACCCCAGGTGGGCTGGGGGTCTTCATACCTTTGAGCCACAACTGCAAGGAGCCATGCTCCCATGCTGTGCAGAGTGGCTGCCAGTGGAGGGGTGACAGTGCTGGGGGCTCCAGGGAGCCTGGCACCAAGGAGACAGTGGGCACAGGGGCTGGAGTCCAGGAACCATCACTTGGGGGAGCTGCAGAGAGTGGACTGGAGGCCATGCAGGCAGTATAGGGTGGTGGGGAGCAGTCCCCAGTCCCAGCCAAGGCCACGTGGACAGTGGGGCTGGCATAGCCAAAGCCCTTGTCAGGTGGGTGCTGTCAGAACCAGGCTGAGGGGCCCTGGAGGCCTCGGAGCTGGGATTCTAGGTCACCTCCGGAGATGGCAGAGGTATTTATAGCCACAGCAGGCACCACTGGTGGAGAAGCCGGCACGAGCCATGACGCAGATCATCCTGGCTCCAGAGCCCATCACACTGTGCCCAAGCCCCGAGGTGACCAGGTGCCACTCTCTGCCTGGCAGGACCTTGTCAGGCTGACAGCCCCGCGGGCATCCCATTAGCACCTCACCTGCTCTGCTGGGCGCTGGCGGGTGGCACTGGCCCTTCTGCTGAGAGGTCTGTTGCAGGCTGGTGGGTCTATGAAAGGCTGTCCCTTCCTGCTGTGGGCATTGGGGTTGCCAAATGCCTATCACCGCCCCACTGCACCCTTGCTAAGTGGCAGCATGGTGCCAGTCAGGCCCCAAATCCACCTCCACCACACCCTGAGAGCAGGCAGGAGGCAGTGGCCTCCCTAGTGATGGGATGGCTACTCTCTGGGGTGAGTGGGTTGGGGAGGGGACACAGTTTGCTGTGTGTCAGGTGTCAGCAGGCTGGGGCCCTGCTCCTGCACAGCCAATCCCCTGGAGCTAAGGGCTGGCCCCGGGTGCTGCATGGAGCTCCCCATCGTGACCCTGTCCAGTTTGACCTTGTCCCGGCCCTTGGTTCCCAGGCCTAGGCAGAGGCAGGCGTGGCAGAACCTTGCAGAACATGGGCCTAGCTGGCCCAGTGAGCCCCTGGCTGCCCCCCATGCTGGCTCCAGGCAGCTGGCACTGAGCAGACTACTCGGTGGCACCCTGAGCAGGCTGGCTACCAGGGCACAGGCAGACATGCTAGGGTACAGAGAGAGCAGGCTGTGCCAGGTTGGGCATTTCCTGTCAGAGGTGCTCGGGCCTGGGTGTGTGCTTTGGAGAAGGGCTTGGCTTAGTTAAAACCAAGTACGGGATACTGAGGCCCCAGGCAGCCCCTCCATGCCACCATCCACCTTCTGTACTCTACAGCTGCAGCCCAGTGCATCCTCGGGTAGCATTATGATAAGGGGTTATGCAGAACCCACCATCGCATCTTATACACTGGAAGTGCCAGTGCCTATCCTGGGAAGCTTTGGTGTTGTGGTCTGGGGACCCAGGGCTGCTCACCCTCCTCACCAGGGGCCTCCTGTGTGCTGCTTCTGGAGGCTGGCATGGTCACAGGGTTTCAGCTGAAGAAGGGGAGGCTCAGGCAGCATCTGAAGGCAATGACCCTGACTTGGGGCCCTGCAATCCTTGACCTTGTGATCTGAGCTGGGGGAAGTCCTGCCCTGGTTTCTTGGGCACAGGCAGGGCTCTGTGCAGGGCTCACAGCAGCTCATCCTGCGCTGTGGTGTGAGAACTCTGTTGAACGTGGTGACAGATGCTATCTCTGCCCATGTGTTCCATGGTGGTCAGGGGCCCTGGCCTTGGTGGGCAGGACGCAGAGCCCTGCCCACCTCCTGCCCAGGAACCAGCTCGTGTTACACAGCCACTCGATCCTTGCCTGCTTCCAAGGTGCCCAGGGCATGGTGATGGGAAACATGATAGCCTGAGCAGCAGGCCAGTGCCCTAGATGGCTGTGCCACGGGGGCTCCCAGGCCACACAGCCTGTTCTTGGAGCAGTATGGACTAGGCACAGCTGGGCCAAGGAGAACGCAGGTGCCAGCGAGTGAGGCCCAGAGGTGTCAGCCCAGCTGTGACCATTTAGCATATTTTAACAGCCTTGCTGGGCCCTGACTAGAGGCGCTGACTCCTCCCAAGGTGGGGGTATCTCAGAGCTTTGGGCCACTACGGGGTGCAGCTGGGCTGAGCAGCCTTGGGAGCAGCGCTGCCAGGGCAGGGGTGGTCAGTGAGATGCCAGCCTGTGCAGGCCCCTGGCCTCTCCAGGTGTTCAGGGTCTAGCCGGGCAGGGGTCCCTAGTGGGGCACCCAGAATCAGATGCCAGCATGAGGATCCTGGGGAGGGGTTCTTAGCTCATTGGCCTACCTAGAATGAGCTCAGCAGTATGGGAGCCATACTGGGGTTCCACGTGCTCTCCTTTCTCCGTGCCACCTCGTGGCAGAGGCGGGGAGGTGTCTCAGCACCCGTCTTGCTGATGAGGTAACGAACTCCCCAGCTACAGAACCAAGGTCCCCCCAGGAGTTTCCCATTCTGGGCAGGCTCATAGATGGCCTCTCGGTCCAGGCTTTGGAGGGTCCCAAGGGGTGTGGCAGGCTGCAGGGCAAGGAGGAAGATCAACACCTTGGTTTGGTTCCCTTCCCTCTGTGGTCATGGCCAGTAGAGCCAGCCCATTCCCACTGCCCAGTGCTCCAGGATACACAGGAAGATAAATGGTCTCCGAGAGAAGAAACTCAGAAACAAAACCCAGCCAGGCTGGGGCCTGGGGGACTGCACTGCACTAGCCCAGGACAGAACCGGCTTGGAGGAGGAACAGGAAGGCTGGGGCCTGGTGCCTGCCTCCCCCCACTCCCCCCACAGCCACCACCCTCCAGAGCAAGCAGTAGGAAGCAGAGGCCAGGCCGATCCCAGGAGCCGGCCACTGCCATGGCAGGGCCTGTGGCAGATGGCGAATTCTGCTTATTGGAGAGGAGTGGAAAATAATTAGTGTGAGAACAGAGGCTGCAGGCTGGGAGGTTGTGGACCCAGAGAGGCCTGGGCCCAGACAGACAGTACCCAGCAGCCTTGGCCAGCTCCCTGCACCCCTGGCCTCCATGTCCTCATCCAGAAAGTGGCTATAAGAGCCATGCTATGTGGGTGCTGAAAGATGCCTACAAGCTGCTTGCTGCCAGCTGCAGCATGTGTAAGTATGGTGGGAGATCTCAGGGAGGGGTCACCAGCGCCATCATGGTGCAGTGCCAAGGCAGGCGTGGGCATTGCCTGTAGGGGCCAGGTGGCTCCAGGTCACCCTCTGGCCCATGCACTCCACTGAGACTCGGCCGCTTCAGCAGCCAGGGCCTCACTACGGAGAACATGGTGGAAGGACCTACTTCTACACCTGATGCTCCCAAATGAGGGTCTTAATGTCAGAGCCTCAGTTTCCCTACCTGTGGGGTTATATGAGGATCCCTGAATGGTGAGGGCACAGGAAGTGCTTCTTGCCCTTTGAAGCCAGCTGGGCAGGAGGTGGCGAGCAGGAGGGGACAGATGGTGGTTAGGCGTTTCTCCTGCACCCAGTGCATCCTGCAGGCATCCCTTGGGCCTGGCAGCTCTGCTTGGCACAGCTCACAGCAAGAAGCAATGGCTTTGAGGCTCCACCCTTGGTGCACACACCTGGCCCATGTGTGCTTTGTGCCAACTTTGCCTGACTCCTTCCTGTGCCTGGGGCAGCAGTGACTGTGGCCTCTGAGGGTACAGGGTCAGGGAGGCCACACGTGGCCCAGTGCTGTCATGTCCTCTCGGCCTCTCAGCAAATTGCCTCACCTGCTCTGCATCTCAGTTTCCCCATTGCTGGGTTGGGGTGGGTGTCCTGTAGCCTGGTGGATGAGGACAAGGGATGCCATAGCAACCTGTGCCTTCTGGCTGCACCCACACTGGCACTCCCAGAGAATACTTCACAGCACCAAGGCCACAGGCAGACCCAGCTATTGGGGGCCCAGCCCTTTGCAGTTCTGTTTTTGGAGACAGGGTCTTGCTATGTGGCCCAGTCTGGCCTTGAACTCTCAGCAGTCCTCCTGTCTAGCTTCTTGCATTTCAGGTGTGTGCCTCTACCCCAACTCCAACACCCACTTCTTAAAGGAAGAGGGGTTCAACTCAGCACCCACTTTCAGTCCCCGGCTCCACCCAGAAGCAGCAGGGCCGAGGGGCTGGCAGAGGAGAAGGTTCGCAGCCCATGGCAGCTGGAAAGCAGAAAGAAGGGTGGGGGACCAGAATCAGATTCTTCTGGTCATCCCCTCTCCCCATGCCCCAGATCCCAGCACAGTCAGCCCCAAGTCCACCCACAGTGAGTCCAGTGCTGAGCACAGGGTTCCAACCCAATCATCTTCATAGTTGTCTCTGAGCATGCGCAGCTTTGGGGGACGTTTTAGAGCCAAACTGTGATGGTGAGGTTTGAAGCCAGGTTGGAGCTCAGACGTGAGCAGCTGATGGCTTCCCACACCTCTGGTGCAGCATGGGGAGATCATCACGGGAACTGCAGCTGGGCCTCGAGACTTGGACAGGTCACCTGTGTGAGAAATGTAGGTGGTGGTGGCAGCATCTCCTCATGCTGTGGTCCAAGATCCACCAAGGATGTTTTTGAAGGGCTCAGGTGGGGCCAAGATGTGGCTGACCTCACAGGCTGGATGCAACATGACAACCAGCATTGCCCACCCTAGATGCTCCCCCCACCCTGCCAGGCATCTGAGCAGCACCAGGTGTTCATGTGTGTCCCTTCTGCCTGCTGTCACTTCCAGGCCTTGTACACACGTGGGAAGCCACAGGTCCCACCGCTGGGGGCTGGGAGAAATGCAGCTGCAGCCCTGCAGAGTGAGATGGTAGTTGGGTGAGCCAGCCCACGAATGGAGCCTTGGGTTGCAGGGCTTGGCCTCCTTGTGCTTAGGGTAGAGGATGCTTGGGACCACGGGCCATCCAGGCAGGCATCCACTCCTGGACCTTTGGGAGTACTTCCCCACATACCTGGTCATTTTGGAAGTCTTTGAGGCCCGGCAACTGCTTCCCACTGATGCTCCATCCTTGCTGAGCTTGCCTGGGTCTTCTGTACTGGGGACATTGGCCCCAGCCCTGGAGCAAGGACATCGGTGACTCTCAGAGGTGGGGATGTGATTGGTACCCTTGTTGGAATGCAGGTGACTTGGGTTGGCTTCCGGAAGCTTACACACGTCTGGGGCAGCAGCAGTGGCCTAGCTCGGGCTCCCTGGGGTGACACTGCACTAGTAGCAGTGCCATCAGGACTCAGAAGGGCGAAGTGAGCTGGCTAAGTGCTTGGGGTGGGGTGTAGAGCCCGGGAACTGTATCCTTCCTGAGCCTCCGTGTCTGCCCCGAGGGGGCACTGGACTGCAGCAGGTTGACCGGTGTTCCTGCTTGTTTTGGATACCTGGGCAGCATCTCAGTGTCCTTGTCGTTAAGCAGCAGTAACAGAGGAGGAGAGGCGCAGGCTGGGCCCTTGGGTCGTGTGGCCTCAAGAGGCCCCCAGGCAGGCACATGTGGTGGGGGAGGAAGAAGAGGTGGCAGTTGGTATGATGCCCAGGGTCACAAGCTGGCGTAGACATGCTTCGGATACCATCTGTCCCCCATGCCACTGCCACTGAGAGTGGCCAGTGCAGACGCGGCCCTGGCCTGGACCACTGACCCTGCCCTTCCACTCCATCCTGGCCCTGTGCCTGGTAGCCCACAGCTGGGCTAGGGTGGCACCCATGGGGCACACAGTTCAGCCTCAAGCTGCCTGCCCAGCAGTCAGGGAGGGATGTTCCCAAGGGAAGATCATGAGCCAGTGTCAGTGGACAGGGCCTGAGCAACAGCACAATGGTAGGGTGGTAGACACTGCCTGGCGCCAGAGGGGTGTGAGGGTCTTGGACCCTGAGGCTCAGCTGAGCTGGGACACCAGCAGGTAAACTGCAGGACAGATGCACGTCAGGGTTGAGTTAGCATGAGGGGCCCAGTTAGGAGGGCATTCTGGGGAAGGGTTTCAGTGGGAGGCTGAGGCAAAAGGATCACAAGTCTAAGCCAAGGATGCATAGTAAGTTTGAAGCCTGCCTGGATGATGGAGGAGAATCTCAAAAAAGAAACTTCAAGGCAGAGTGATACTGGCCTGGCCTTGAATGATAGGACTCTGCCCAGTAGGATGGGGTGGCCAGAGTACCCGGGCCCTTGTGTGTGTGTGGAGGGGGTTACATCTTTAAGGGACAGGAGTTCTGCAGGCAAGGAGTAGATTGGGCCTCAGGGATGCAGGCCACTGCCCCAATAGGCTGTGTTCCCAGGGCTTGAGGCTGTGTTGAGTCTACATGGCCACCAGCAACCGATGCTTTTAGCCACTCTCTGAGGGGCCTGGGCTCCACACAGAGCCACAGCAGGATTTGCATGTGGGGACAGCATACGCTTTTTAAAAAGTCACATTTTTAGAAAGAGGAACTGCCAGAATGGTGCATGCCTCCAGCCAGGCCTGAATCATCACGGGAAACTGGGCCCTGTGGGCAGGAAGAAGGAGGCTTCTTTGGGCTGCCTAAGTCTTTCTTCCCTGCCCCTGCCTCACTGACCCTGCCCTGGGCATCCAGGCTGGGAAGCCGCTCTGCTGCCCTCCTGGGGCATTTCCTGTAGGTGACGTCACTCGGCAGGAACAGACCTCTGTTGTTATGGGCTGGGGTCTCAGAGAAAAGGCGCCTTTCATGGCCTTAAAAATAGCCTGGGATGTGGCTCTGCGAGTTTTCAGAGTGAACCCGAGTGGCAGGGATGCCACCCCCGCCGGGTTGCAACCCGTGGGTGACCAGCAGGGGAGGTTTCTGGCATAGTGGGGCGGGGCAGGTGCCTGACTAGGGCTCATGGGGGCCCTGGCCTTCTCTAGCCTGGCCTGGCCCTCCTGGCAATCCTCCTCTTGATTTCTGCCAGCCTTGGGAGGTAGGCAGGGCAGGACGCGAGACACAACTCTTGTGTCACAGGACTGGAGATGGAGTCCCTGCTGTGTACCTGAGGTTAAGCAACAGTGGGCTGGGCAGCTGTGGCTGTGGCTGTGGCTGTGGCTGTGGCTGGAGACAGAGACTGCCCCTGACCCTGTGGCTCTAGGGTCTCAGCAGTGCTATGCCAATTCTGAGTGCCTGGTGCCTGGGTGATGGGCGAATGGTCCCCAAGAGTATAAGGGTGCTTACCCTCTGAACCCCACGAGGGGATGGATAAGGGGGAGAGGAGGCCCCCCCTTGAGGGAGAGTGGGCTCAGTTTCTCCTGAAGAAGGGTGATCTGGCTTCTCGGGGCAGACTGCAGACCCTGGCACCACTGAGTCCTATTGCTGACCTCTGACCTCTCTAGTGCAGCCCCCCTAAGCTGGCCTTTTCAGCCTCCCAGCCACCTGCAGCGGCAAGGCTGGCGTGAAGCCTGCTGTTCCCAGTTCGTCCTGCCCAGCCCCTCCTACCTCAGCACTGCAAACCTAAGTGCCAGCCACCACTTGTCACAGCTGCTGCCGCTGCCGAGGCCCCCACCCCTGGCTGCCTCATGCAGTCTTCCCTGTCCCCATCCTTCCCTGCTCGCTCACTTCCCTGAGTCTCAGCTCCTCGGCTCCTCCTCGGAGTGTGGATGATGTCACTTCCTGGGGGGAGGAGCAGGCACGACCCCGCAGGCCAGCCCGCCAGGCTGCTAGCTCGGAGCAGCGAGCAGCCCCGGAGTGCTGCACAAAGTGGCCGCGCTGCAGGGCAGGGGACAGGCTGGGCCAGACATGCCAGCTGGCCACCTGGGCCCGTGGCCCTCGCCCACCCTGAGAGCTGTGCCCACTGGCCAGGGAGGACTTGGCTGCTTTCTTCCCGAGCGATGCCAGTCAATGAGGACACGTTTTCCCCAGAGCCTTCCCTGGGGAGAGGAGGACCTGCCACCCACCCCGGGACCAGGTGCCATGTAAGCCAGGGGACAGGTGCCCCAGCAGGCTCCCTTCACAGCCTAGTGTGGGCTCCCTGCCCTTCCACCAGAGTCTACTGAGATGACCTCTTCGCCATGCTGCCACCCTTCTCTAGCCCTGGGGAGGGTCCTGGGTCCTGGGCACTCCTGAGTCAGCACCCAGCCTGCTGGTGTCCCACTGCTGAGGTCCTTGCTATTGGCTGTAGGAGGTAGGCAGCAGGAAGCAGCTCCTGCCTCAGGGTGGGTCAGCATTTCCAGTGGCCCAGATGCCCCAGGACCAAGGGTGGGTCTTATGATCAGTGCCAAAGATGGCAGCACTACTGACCACATCTGGGAGGAGCCAAATGGCCCAGGAGTGCAGGGGCTCTGGGTGCTGCAGCCTGCCCGGGCTGCTCCAGGGGCCTCTGCTTTCTTCCAGGAGGTGAGTACCAGGTTTGCTGAGCCTTCTGGAGCCGCCAGCCATGCCCGGGATCGTGGTGTTCCGGCGGCGCTGGTCTGTGGGCAGCGATGACCTCGTCCTGCCGGCCGTCTTTCTCTTCCTCCTGCACACCACCTGGTGAGTTGCGTGCTGGGCTGTGATCACCTGTTCCTCCCTGCCTGGGCCTTTACAGACCCTGAGTTCCCTGCTCCCCAGAGCCCATGGCTGCAAAGGGGAGCACTTTGGGGTAATATGCCTACGGACATGATGCCCCTCGGCTGTCACTATCCCAATTCCTGCACTGGACAGTTACTGATGGTGGGTGACTTAGCTGAGTGTCTTATGATTCCATTGCTAGTACAAAATATGTGGTACTAAGATCTTCAAGGAGAGGCTTATTTTGTGCTGCAGTTTTTAGGAATTCAGTCCGTAGCTTGCTGGCTCCGTGGTGGAAGGGGCTGGCAGAGGCAGAGGAAAGCTGCTCACATTATGGCAGTGAGGAAGCAGAGAGAAGAGAGCTGGGAAAGAGGCACCCTTGCAGGTGGTGCCCAGTGACTACCTCTCCCAACCAGACCCTCTGACCTGCAGTAACCAGCATACCTTGTGATGTACATTTATTTCTGAACTCTGGCTACCAATGAGTGTAGCACCCGTGGTCCAGTTAGCTTCCAAAAACTTGACCTCTAAACTTATGAGCCTCTTGGGAGACATTCTAGGTGTGAACCGTAACATTCTGCCTCTGGCCTCCAAAAGGTTCACCCCCAAGTGTTTACAGAAAATGCATTCAGTCCATCTGTCAGAGCCATCTAAGTCTTAAGGGTACCAGCTTTGCTGACACAGAGCCAAGTTCATAGGCTCCTCTGAAACTCAAGGCAAACTCTTAGCAGTGAGCCCCTACAAAAATCAAAAGGAATGGGGTTGGGGATTTAGCTCAGTGGCTTAAGCACCTGCCTGGCAAGTGCAAGATCGTGAGTTTGATCCCCAGTATAAAAAAAAAATCAAAAGGAAGGTAAATATTTTCTGCACACAATGGCAAAGGGAAAACATTCCCATCTCAAAAGAGGGGAACAGAGTAGAAAGGAATGGAACTAAACCAAGACTGAAACCCAGCAGGATAAACATTAAATCCTGTAGTTCCATGGTCAGCACACAGAGCAAACTGTAGTGAGATGTGAGCTCCAAATGTGTGGGCAAATGCTTCCCTACCGCATTGCCAGTTAAGCTCTCAGGACCTCTCTTGGGATGGCTCCACTCACTGCCTGCAGCCTTCCTCAGTGGGTGACCTATATTCTTGGCATCTCCACTGTTTACACACTGGCCTCTCAGGTGCACTGCCTGGTTTTCCAGGCCTTCTGAAGGGAAGACTTCCTGACCTCACAACTCTTGTGCTCTGCATGCCTGTAAAACCAGTACCATGTGAGTGACAATCACGGTCTGCCACCAGCTCAAGCAGTAGTCTGGCCCCCTTGTACACTGGCTGCAGGGGACTCAAGTTCCTGGATTGTTGAGCACTGTGAAATTAATATTGGTGGCCCATCTTGAGCAGGAGGTCCAACATCTCTCTTTTCAAAGGAGACTTATGGTTTTGCACCTTTGAGCCTACACATGGTGATCCTCAGGAACCCTTATGCCATTTTTAATACTTCTGCTGAAAACCAGTGGCTTCTTTTCACTGCTGATCTTTTCAGCCACCATGCTCTGCTCTATATGGCCCCAGCTTTGCAGGCACTGCCTGTCTGGCACATCTGAAAACTTTTGCTCAAGTCTCGTGGATTGAGCTGAAAGCAGTCAGGAGGTCCCATCCCACAGGTCAAGTGTTAAGCTACCTTAAAATTTCTTCCATAATGTTTATTAGTCTGCTTCCCTTAATCTCAGTCTCCTGCAAAGTCTCACAACTTGAACAAAACAAATACAGATTTCTTGCCTGAGTATAATATATGGTGTTGTCCCCCTGCCATTGGAGGCCTTCTTCCCAGCTGAAACCTTCTAAGCTTGGCCTATTTCGTCTGCATTTTTGTCAGCTTTCTGGTCTTGCAAGCTCTGAGCTTGCTCAGTGCATGGCGTTCTAGAGCTTGTTGTTTTTATTTTTTGAGACAAGTTCCCGTTATGTGATTCAGGCTGGACTTAAATTCACTGTATAGTCCAGATTGGCTCTAAACTCCCAGTGATCCTCCTGTCTCAGCCTCCCAAGTACTATGATTACAGATGTGTGCCACCATGCCTGGCCCTGGGGCTTGTCTTGCTGGCATCTCTAAACCTTCTCAAACTCCTGCTGCAAGTGACTTCCAAAGGCTTCTGACCGACATGGCCACTTACACACCAGTGACCCTACTTCTTTGGTACCGAAATCTGTCTTGATAACATTCTGATTGCTGAAACAGAGGACCCCGACTTCCGCAACTTGAAGTTATTTAGGTTTATTTAGGCCCGTGGTTATCGGTGCTGGTGGGCTGCCTCCAAGGCTGAGACAGCATGGTGGGAGGGCCAGGGCAAGCAGTGAGAAAGGAGGCGCTGAGGGAAGCCACATAGCTCCAGGCCACGCTACACTCCACAACTCACCTCTTCTGACCTGAGTCTGCCTTCTACCAGCACGTTTAGCCCCAACTCTTCCATGGATTAGTAACTGATGAGTATTGCACCTCCTCAATCCAGGCCCCTCTGAAAGCCCCAGCTCTGAGCTCTGCCTTTGAGGTCAAGTTCTAGGTTGGTACTGTGACAGCAGGCTCCTGGCTCTCACCTCCCTGCCCCACCCTTGCTTGGCTGAGCACCAGCCAGGTGCCTGCAGTGGTGCCGACCTGGGTCCTCCTGCAGGTTTGTGATCCTGTCTGTGGTGCTCTTCGGCCTGGTCTACAGCCCACACGAGGCCTGCTCCCTGAATCTGGTGGATCACGGCCGTGGCTACCTGGGCATCCTGCTGAGCTGCATGATTGCTGAGATGGCCATCATCTGGCTAAGCATGCGCGGGGGCATCCTCTATACAGAGCCCCGAGACTCCATGCAGTACGTGCTCTACGTGCGCCTGGGTAAGGGCCACCCCACCCCGGGGAGGAGTGCGCCACTGCCCTGTTCACTCTTTCAGCTGCACGTGCTGTAGGCCAGGCCTCTGCCAGCACCAGGGTCAGTGGAGCCTTCCTGGGTGGGCACACTGCAATGGCATCTTCTGAGCACCTGCACGTACCTGGCTTTTCCCAGGCTGCACTGGCCCTGCTATAGCTGACACAAGCAATTTATTTGGTGTCTGGAGGACCAGAGTCTATGGTCCTTACTCCCTGGCCCTTTGTGGACAGGTTTTGCTGTCCCCAAGTCCAGCAGGAAGAACCAGTATAGAGTGCTGTCCTTCGCAGTCACTGCACACAGGCTCTTCCCACTCTGGCCAGCCCCCCCGACTGGCTTCCCCTCCCTCGGGTTTCAAGGCATCCAGCTGGGAAATAATGGTTTCCACAGCTGGACATTTGTGTCTTCCTCCCACGGGTGGGAGCTGGGGATCCACGTTACACCCCCGGGTTTTGTACCATCCAATGACCCAGACCTTGTCATCCCACTTCATGGATGAGAACTCGGGCTCAGAGGTTAGGAAGCTGACCTCACATGGGTCCAAACACGAGTTCATGGGCATGAACAGGAAAGTGCACCTCCCCCATGGCTGTGGCCTCCAGGTGCCTACGGAGCTGGTGGGGCCCACAGGATAGGATGAGTGGAGCAGCCTTCAGCTGGTGTGGTGGGGTGGGGTTGGACATTTGGGTGCTGCCCCAGCAGGCTGTGGGGCCAGCCTCAGCCTGGCTTTCTGCACACAGCCATCCTAGTGATTGAATTCATCTACGCCATCGTGGGCATCGTGTGGCTCACGCAGTACTACACCTCCTGCAATGACCTCACCGCCAAGAACGTCACACTCGGTATGCCAGCTGACTGTGGTGGTGCATGGGAAAAAGGAGCCCTGCATCTGGAAGCCCCCAAGGCCTGGGCTGAGTGGGCAGCAGGGCGGTGGCTGTGTGATAAGGTGGCCTTGGGTGCATGGTTCTGCAGGGCCGTGCAGGGCTTCCGAGCCTCACTCCTGGGCCCCAAGTACCTCTCCTCAGAGCTGGTGACAGTGTCCCCTGTGTCCCTTTGCTTACCACGGCTACCCCCAGGAATGGTTGTCTGCAACTGGGTAGTCATCCTCAGCGTGTGCATCACTGTCCTCTGTGTCTTCGACCCCACGGGCCGCACCTTTGTCAAGCTGAGGGCCACCAAGAGGAGACAGCGCAATCTGCGGACCTACAACCTGCGGTCAGTGGCACCACTGGCAGGGCAGAGTGTGGCCTCACTCTCCACAAGGCCCCCAGACCCCAGGCTGCCCAGTGCAAGTGAGGGGCTCGCCCTCCCCACCTCATTTTCCACGCAGAGTCACAGCTCCTGCCTCTTCCATCCCGTGGTGTCAAGTCCCTGACAGAGCCCCTGTAGCCACATGGGAGATACGGGCAGCTGGGTGTCACACAGCAGGTCACCATTCCCTGAGGCAGCTGTCACTGTCCCCGCACAGGGAGCTAAGGGTATGTGAGGAGCAGAAGGTGAGGCCGGGAACTGGCCCAGGCTTAGCTGCCAAGCCCTTGCTTATCCCTGGGCACGGCCACCTCTGGAAATTGTAGCGGAGGTGGAGGATGCTAGCCGAGGACAGCGTGAGAGGGAATGGGTTCCACACAGTGCTGTAGCAGGTTATGAGGGTCCTCTGGGTGGGTCCCTGTCACACAGCCACCCCAACCTCTGGCGAGCTTGGAGGTGCATCCTCTGTGCTGTTTTCCCAGTTGCAGGGGGCGTAGAGGTGGCCCTCTGCCTGCAGCCCAGAGCTGCGTTTCGGGGATGCCCAGCCCAGCCTGTGCTTCTGCATGAGTGCCTGGGACCTTCCGTGTCAGCCTGCCTATTCCAGAGCAGGCCCTCTGGCTTGGCCTGGCCACTCCCCTCCCTGTCACCACCTTGCTTAGGCACTGCCCAGGCCGGCTCCTCCGGGGATCCTGGAAAGAAGTCTCCCCTCCCACCCCTGTGATTGTGTGGGGCCAGGGCAGCCACCACCATCGCCTCTGCCGCAGGCGAGCGGTTCCGTGCTTTAATTAGAGAGCTTGCTGTGGTTTCCGCTGCCAAGGTAAAGGGAAGGCCTGAGCTCCCCACCCTCTGCCGCTGCGGTTTCCTTCCCATGTGGGCTGCTGCTTGCCTGCTGGCACTGAAGCTGTAGTGCTGGCAAAAGTGCCCTTCCAAGGCACCCTGGCGCCTGTGGGCTGCCCCGTACCAGCTCCCCGCACCAGAAGGTCAGGACATCTTGGGTCCTCAGCCACACTCTCTGGCTTTACTGAGCTGCAAGGCAGAGGGGCTCAGGGACCAGGAATGTCAATGCAGCCTAGGTTTATGTCTCTTGGCCCAGGCCCCCACTGTGGCAAATCCTTGACCACATGTGTCACCTGGTGGCATGTGGCCCAAGGATGAGCTGCCCCCTGGTACATGTCGAGGGTACTACAGTGGGGGCTTGAGGGCTGGCAGGGATCCTCTTTGGCTTTGAAATCCCTGAGGGTTCGAAAGCGGCTGAGAACAGAGCTCTAGGAGCCCACTTGGCGCTGTCTCCTCACCAAGCCCTGGAAGGAGCCCACATGCTTAGGATGCAGGGCTGCTCTTGCCCCAGATGCTGCCTTCTCCCTTCAGGACCCTGCAAGCCCTGGCCCTCCCTGGGCCACCTGCTCTGGGAACTGGAGCAAGGGCATTTCTTGCTGTCCCTCCTGCTGGCTGCTGAGTGCCCAGGCACAACTGAATCCCACCTCGGCCCTCCTGATGCCCAGCCCCAGGAGGACAGGGAGGCTGTCACGCTGCCATCCCCCAGGGCTCTCAGCCTGAGCCTCTGGGCACCCAAGCTACAGAGTGGCTGTCCTGAAGCCCCCTGAGGGTGCCAGGAAGGCTGCCTGTCTGTGCCCTGCTTGGCCCACAAGAGCCCCCAGACAGGTAAGGGACCAGACATGACCCGTTTCCACGGTGTCTGTTGCCAACTGGCTCCTTCCCACCATCCCACAGGCACCGCCTGGAGGAGGGCCAGGCTACCAGCTGGTCCCGCCGGCTGAAGGTATTCCTGTGCTGCACCCGCACCAAGGACTCGCAGTCCGTGAGTACAGCCGTACTGCACTAGGGCCTCCACTTTCACTCCCAGGGCCAGGCTGGTGGGCAGGGCTCCGCGTGGGGCACTGTGCTCCCCAGCCACACCCCAGCGGCAGTCCACCTCCCTTGCTTTGTGGAAGGGCCAGGATGCCCCTGGGAATGCAGGATTAGCCTGGGGGTGCTCAAAAGTCAGGCTCCAAGGGCAGGAGAGGCCGCCACCAGCTGCAGGGGCATTGGAGGCCTGTAAGGCATAGAGAGGCTGGAGTCCTAGGCCTGAGAACCACTGAGCTTCTCCGGTGCAGCCTCGTCATTGTCCAGTGTCAGTGATGTGAGTGGCTGAGTGTCCCCCGAGCTGGTAGGCGACAGGGCAGGAAGCCTCTGGAAGTCAGCAGGAACCTTGAGAGGCAGGTCCAACTGGAGTGAGGGACTGAACCCTAAAAGCTCTAAGTTGTACAGGGGGATGCAGGCAGGCCTCACAAGGGCAGAGCTGGGGGACGTTGGCTGCCCCAAGCATGTCAGAGCCTGGGTGTCCCATTTGATGTGAATGACACAGGGCACAGGGCCTAAGCCCAGGCTAGGTGCTTTCAGATTAGATGTTTAGTAAGCGTGTGATCTTTTGGGTCAGTTTGTGCTGTGTTGTTTGAAAACTTCAATTGGAAGTAAGCTGTAGTGGTACACACCTATCATGCAGTGCTCTAGGAGGCTAAGACAGGAGGATTATAAGTTTGAGCCCAGCCTGGACAATGCAGTGATTCCCTGTCTTCCAGTGGAAGAGGACAGGGGCTGTAACTGAGTGCAGAAGTCCTGGGTTCAATCTCTGAGTCCCTGGTATAAAACCACAGCAGCATCAAAACAACAGCATAAATGAAAAGAAAACCCCCACCATGGCCACCAGCATTGGTGACTGAGCTGTTGCCTCCTGGAGGCCTTGTGTGCCTGTGCCTGTGCCTGGCAGCCAGGGTGCTTCCACCAGCAGCCCTGGGCACAGAGCCAATTAGTCAAGTTCTCTGAGTGTCAAAACTTCAGGATCCCAACCTGCCCTGGCAAGCAGATCAGGGAGGAACTTGGGCCCTGGAAGGTAGGCATCCCTGCAGCAGGAGAGAGAGGCTGCCAACCCATGGCACCTCCAAGGGTCCTGGAGGCCCCAGGCAGCTAGAGGGACCCAGAGGGGCCCCCAGGGTCACAGCAGAAGGAAGCAGCCAAGGTGGTCACAGCCTGAACTCCTGGTGTCTGTGGCAGGGCAGGGGGTGCCCTGTGCAGTGGGCGGAATGGTGTGGAGGTCCCAGAGGCTGCTCCAAGCCTCACCCCACACCCGTCCCCTGGGCCTGCTGGCCCTTCGCAGGACGCCTACTCGGAAATCGCCTACCTCTTCGCTGAGTTTTTCCGGGACCTGGACATTGTGCCCTCCGACATCATCGCCGGGCTGGTGCTGCTCCGCCAGCGGCAGCGGGCCAAGCGCAGCGCGGTGCTGGATGAGGTGGGCTCCAGGCACCGGGCGCTGCCCCCACCCCACTGCTGCCAAGCTTCCTGCCCATCCTGGAGGTCCTCTCGCTGCACGCGGAGCAACCTTTCTCAGGGCCCAGCCAGCCTCTGCCCTGTGCTGTCCAGCGCAGCCTGCCGCATCTTTGCTTGTGGGACCCCCCACAAGCAAAGCATCCCAGGCTATACTGTGTGGTTGAAGGAGGGCAGCACAAATGGAGAGGCTGCTGGCCAATCTCAGCAGAGCTGGTGCCCTGAGCCCTTTTGCGGGGAGCAGTGGAGCTGGGGTGGCCCTGCCCATGGCGGTGCCTGTCTTCCAGGCGAACAATGACATCTTGGCCTTCCTGTCCGGGATGCCGGTGACCAGAAACACCAAGTATCTCGACCTCAAGAACTCAGTGAGTGCCAGGCCCTCCCATCCCCCATCCTCTGCCCTCTGGAGAGCCCCAGATTTCAGATCACAGCACGCAGCTCTGTGCTTCTCCATGGAGCCCGAAGTCCCTGGCTAGGCTCCTTGGCCCACAGTTGAAGCCCCTTGAGACCTCAGAGCACTCCCCAGGATGAGCTGGGACCTTCATGGCACCACTGCGGACCTAGGGAGGGGCACCCACAGGCTAAGGGCTCTGTCCTCAGTGCCTGGGGGAGACCAGAGATGTGAGAAGGCATTGCCAGCCTGCAGTAGGCACAGTGGGGAGAGCAATGGCCTTGCTTGGAGGTGTGGGGTCCTGGGGTCTCTGCCACCCTGCAGCCCCCATAGCTTCTGCCAGAGCTTGGGGAGCCAAGGGGCCTCGCCAGGAGGTCCCTCAGGCCCACAGCAGAGTCTTGGGTGGGGCCGAACAAGCCCTGGTGACCTCCGTGCTTGAGTAAAGGTCACTGTACAGACACCTGAATCCACAGCAGCTGCTCAACAGTGGTTTTGCACATTCCTTAGGACCTGCCTGGCTGCCTGCTGCCACCTTGGGGTAACAGAGTGGGGAGCTGAGGATGGGGCTGCACCTGTCCTGGCAGAGGCTGAGGGGAGCTGGGCATAGACCCTGCGAGATCCCCTCCAGGGGCAGACTGAGACCCCACGAGGACTCCTGAATCTCACACTTCGGTCAGGCTGGGCCTCCTGGCCTGACAGCACAGTAACACCTCTGCCCACTCTGGCCCTGGAGGCTGCAGCAGCCCGGGCCTTGGATCTCTGGGTTTCCCCAGAGGACCCCAGCCTCACAGGCCCTGCCTTAGTGCTACTGCCTGCATCACAGACCCAGAGTCTCCCCGAAGGCAGTGATGACTTGTCCCCTGGCCAATGTGTGGCAGGAGGGCCCAGGTCCTCATGGGGTTGAGGCCCCAGCTGTCGGCTCCCGTTGCTGCTTTCCTGGGCCTGATGGCCAGGGTAGGGTGACCCCACTCACACCCTCGATCTCTGTCAGGAAATTGGTCGAGTGCGCCCCGCTGTTCTCTGTCCCCCAAATCATTAATTCTGAGATAGGAGAGCAGGACAGGTCCCGGGAGGTCCTGTGCCCTAGTTGCACAGATAATTAGAGACATACAATTACTTGGAATGCGCAGTGCCCACCAGGCCCGACCCAGCCTCCACCTGTGAGATGATGGGTGGGCTCCCAGTGGGCTCCCACCCCGCGCTTCGGGCTTGACAGGCAGCCATGGAGTGCAAGCATCCCGTGTGCTGTTTTCCAGCACGAGATGCTGCGCTACAAGGAGGTCTGCTACTACATGCTGTTCGCCCTGGCGGCCTACGGCTGGCCCATGTACCTGATGCGCAAGCCTGCCTGCGGCCTCTGTCAGCTAGCACGCTCGTGCTCGTGAGTGCCCGCCACGTCCCCTGACGCGTGACCGGGGTGGTGCAGCGGGGCACTCGGGAGGCACGGGGCTCAGGGTCCGTGTGTAGAGCGCCCCCTGGTGGCCACGGGTACCTCTAGTTCCCTTTCTCTTCCCGCCTGTTCTCTGCCCCGGGCCGCCCATCTACCCACGTCGCCCCGCCTTCGCTCCTTCAGTGGCCACCTTCCCATGGCATGCAGGGTCCCGGGAGCTGAGCTCCACCTTTCCGCGCCACTCGCCACCCCTGGGGCAGAGTCTAAGGTGGGAACTACTGGAGGACCCTGTGCTCCTGGGCCTGTCCCTGAAAGGCTGGCGGGTTCCGCAGTGCCTTCCCCTTCCCTGCCAAGCCGGTAACCCCAGGACGCACTGCTGGAGCTCATCAGGAGGATGGGGCCTCAGGCCTGGGGCCCTTCCCGGCCAGCTGCACATGCCCAGCCTTTCTCCCCAGCTCCCAAGCACCCAGAGATCCCTTAAGCAGGAATTCTGAGCCAGGCTGTCGGGCAGCCCGGCCCTTGGTCCTAAGAGGAGGAATCCCCAAGACGATGTTCCTGTCAAGCGCAAGGTTCCAGGCACCCTGCAGATAACGGATTGTGGGCCCTGGCATCTGCCTGCTCGGGGCACAGGGCCCAGGGCTCTGGGTTGGGAGTTCCAGGCCCACTGCTAGGGCTAGGAATGGGTGAGCTTCAGGGGCGAGGACCCCTGCACCTGCTCCGTCTAGCTTGGAACAGGGCAGCAGCTCTCCCAGGCTGCAGAACATAGAGCAGTCCCCTGGGTGTGTGCCGGGTTACCTGGGGCCCATGCCACCTGTACTGACCCTCAGGTAATTGTCTCTAGGGGCTGTGCACCCCACACCATGGGTTCCAAGGAAATAGGCTTAGTTGCGAGAGAGCACCCTAGAGCCAGGAGGGCATGACAGGAGGGTAGAGCCCCAGGACAGCAGCCATGACCCCTACCTCAGGCTCTGCTTCTGCACTGTGACAAGGGGATCTGCTCCCCAGGTATCAGGCTGGACCCTGGACTTCGTGAGGCCTTGCTCATGGGGCAGTCACAGCCCCACAGACTGCTCTGCGAGCACCGCCCCAGCTCTGGGTCCTGGATAGGACTGGCTGTGTCCAACAATCTGTGTGCCGCTGGCGCCCTCTGGTGACCAGAGGAGCAGCTGCAGCCTGCCCCCTCAGGGCTGGGTCACTTACTGTGGGGTTGTGGGTGTGTGCTGGTGCCTGCCCTGCAAGAGACAGAGTTGATGGCTAGGTCAGGGAGGCATCTCAGGAGGGGTCAGAGACCTCGAGACGGGCAGCGCTGTCGCTGTCGTTTGGCTGGGGGAAGAGCCAGCCCCAGGGTTTCCAGGGCCAGGTGAAGTTGGATATGGGACCAGCATAGGTGGGGTGCAGGGTGGGGGATGGGTGCGGGCCAAGGGTGGAGGGCAGCTGTGGCCCGGCTGGCAGGGACTGGGCAAAGGTTGGGTGGTATGCCACATGGGGCGGGCAGGAGCAGGTATGGAGCATCCAGGGCCAGGGCCTGCTGGGGGCCTGCTCAGGGGTTCTGGGGGTCACAGCAAGGATGATCTTGGGGATGTGGGGTCATGCACTGCCCGAGCACCAGCCTGAACGCTGCCCCTTGACACAGCTGCTGCCTGTGCCCCACGAGGCCCCGGTTTGCCCCTGGTGTCACCATCGAGGAGGACAACTGCTGTGGCTGCAACGCCATCGCCATCCGGCGCCACTTCCTGGATGAGAACATGACAGCGGTGGACATCGTCTACACCTCCTGCCACGATGCGGTGAGTGCCCCACTGCCCTGTTGCCCTGGCTCCAGCTGCAGGCTGAAGGCGGATGCCCCAATGGCACGGGATCAAGTCCCTGGCCCAGCTTTCGGGCATGTGGGCAGTCATGGGTGAACAGAGTCCCCGTGGGTAAGTCAGAGTAAGGCCAGGGCCTTGTGTGGGGATGCAGGCTCCTTGGTGACTGCAGGATAAAGTCAGACTTGCAGCCAACAGTGTGTCCCCAGGCCCATCTCACATGTTACCACCCCCAGGTGTATGAAACCCCCTTCTACGTGGCCGTGGACCACGACAAGAAGAAAGTGGTGATCAGTATCCGAGGAACCCTGTCCCCCAAGGTAAGCCATGCCCCTCAAGTCAGGGCGCCTACTGCATCCACCTGTGTTCATGGCTGCCCCCCACTCTGCCCAGGATGCCCTGACAGACCTGACCGGTGATGCTGAGCGCCTCCCTGTGGAGGGTCACCGCGGCACCTGGCTGGGCCACAAGGTACTGGCTGCCCCGGGGAGGGCCTGTACCATGGGCTGCCGCAGGGACAGTGCCATCCACAAGGCCTACACGGCCTCTCCCCAGGTCCCTGGGCAGCAGGGAGGCCACCCCAGCATCTGCTGATGCCCTCTGCCAAGCTGCCATTCCCCAGGCTGCTCCAGGGACCATGGGAACAGGGAAGTGACCTGTGTCTCCAGCTTTGCCGGTCCCTGAGGCCCCTGTGACCCCCATTTACCACCCAGGGCATGGTGCTGTCCGCCGAGTACATAAAGAAGAAGCTGGAGCAGGAAATGGTGCTGTCACAGGCCTTTGGGCGTGACCTAGTAAGGCGAGCTCCGTGCCATGGGGCCCTGGGGCTCCTGCAGCCTCATGGGAGGGCAGTCTGGGTGAGGCTTGGCGGGTACAGAAGAAGACACAGTGACCAGAGCAACCAGCGGTACCCTGTTCTGCCCCCCCCCCCCCGCATCTACTAGTGCAGGGCTTCTTGCCTGGGCACTGCCAGCCATCCCTCCTGGGCTTGGAGCATGGAGTCAGCTGGGATGCAACCAGCAGGGCACTCAGGGGTTTTGGTCTGCAGGGCCGAGGAACCAAGCACTATGGCCTGATCGTGGTGGGCCACTCCCTGGGTGCAGGCACGGCGGCCATCCTGTCCTTCCTCCTGCGCCCACAGTACCCAACCCTCAAGTGCTTTGCCTATTCACCCCCAGGGGGCCTGCTGAGGTGAGTGCCTGGCTCACAGGCCAGGGCTGGGACTGCGGCTAGGGTGGGGGCTGGGTGGACATTGGGCTTCTAGCCACGGGGAGGCCTGAGCTGCCTGGTGAGTAGGGAGCAGTGACTCAGTCGATAGCCCCACCTGTATGAACAGGCACCTGTCTCAGAGGCTTAGTCCTGGGGTAGCAGGGTGACCCCAGCACCCCAGAAGGGGGTAGCAGACACAACCAAGGCCAGGCCCACAATCGACACACCCCACAGCATCCCACTAGGCCCAGTTGGTGGCTCACCCTGACCGTCTCCGAGATGGGTGGATGAGGGTGGTCGACTGCCCCATCCAGCCCAACTCAGCCTTCCAGCAGGAGCTGCCCAGAGCCCCCTGAATCCCTGGACTTCCCTTGCAGTGAGGACGCCATGGAGTACTCCAAAGAGTTCGTGACGGCCGTGGTTCTGGGCAAGGACCTGGTCCCCAGGCGAGTCCCCTCCCGTGTGGCCCCGGCTGGCCTGTCCCCACCTCAGCCTCCGAGGGACCCCGGGGCCCCTCCATACCCGCAGTCGCCTGTGGTGAGGAGATGGGATCATGGGCCCCCTCGTTCTGCCCCACATTGTGCCCCCTGTAACCCTGGTGTCCCCTTCCCGCTTCCTCAGGATTGGCCTGTCACAGCTGGAGGGCTTCCGCAGGCAGCTGCTGGATGTCCTGCAGCGCAGCACCAAGCCCAAGGTGGGTACTAGCTCACACTGCTGTCCTGTAGGATAAAGCCCTCCTGGCCCACTACACATCCTGGGACCTCAGCACCATGGGGAAACTAAGGCCCAGTGTGGGCCTCATACCTCAGGGTCCTGACCAGGTCACCTGGGCTCAGGTGGGGCCCCAGAAGACACCATCTTTCCAAGAGCCCATGCTTCGGGGTCCTCTGAGGTCACCTCCAAGGTCCCCCTGCAGCACCCCCTGTGGCGACAAGATAGTAGGCTGGCCTGAGCCAGGCCAGCAGAGAGAGGGAGGTAGCTCTGGGAAGGCAGCTGGCCTGGGCCCCAGGGACCCCACTCAGCAGTAGCTAAGCCATTCTGCTCAGACTCAGAACATCGCCCCAGTCCCCAAAACTCCATGTCCTGCGTGCTTGGCTCTTCCTGGCCCTCTGGTCCCTGACCCTTGGGTAGACACTGCCTTTCACATCAGGCCACTGCCCTGCCCTCATCTCCCCTATGGCCCACCCAGCCACACTGATCAACTCTGTCTTGTCCCTGCTCCACAGTGGCGAATCATTGTGGGGGCTACCAAGTGCATCCCCAAGTCGGAGTTACCCGAGGAAGTAGAGGTGACCGCGCTGGCCAGCACCCGGCTCTGGACGCACCCCAGTGACCTAACTATCGCCCTGTCAGCCAGCACCCCGCTCTACCCACCAGGCCGCATCATCCATGTGGTTCACAACCATCCAGCTGAGCACAGCTGGTAGGTGCTGGCCTGGCCTAGAGAGGGGGGCTGATCCCAGCCACATCCACCTGGGGATAGTTGAGCCAGGCCCCGCCCTCGCAACAAGCTGGGTGGAGCCAGGGCCTGACAGGCCCCGCCCACCACGCAGCTGCTGTGAGCAGGAGGAGCCCACCTACTTCGCCATCTGGGGTGACAACAAGGCCTTCAACGAGGTGATCATCTCACCGGCCATGCTGCACGAGCACTTGCCCTACGTGGTCATGGAGGGTCTCAACAAGGTGAGCACAGGCGCCGCACAGGCGTTGGGGCCCAGGCCGAGCCCTGGTGCCGGAACAACCCCAGCCCTGCGGCTGCCCACTGGGCAGAGGGCTCTGTGGCCCTGCTTCCAGGCCCGAGGCGGGACCGGCCGTGCCTCCCACCCCAGGTGCTAGAGAACTACAACAAGGGGAAGACGGCACTGCTGTCCGCGGCCAAGATCATGGTGAGCCCCACTGAGGTGGACCTGACGCCCGAGCTCATCTTCCAGCAGCAGCCACTGCCCACAGGGCCCACACTGCCCGCTGGGCTGGCTCTGGAGCTGCCAACCACTGAGCAGCACAACAGTAGCACCAGGTGAGCCGTCCACTGGGCCACACAGCCCCAAGGCTGGGCTATAGTTCTAGGTACAGTCACCCCTCAGACAGGCAGATGCTGTGCTGATGCACACATATGCACGGGGCCTGTCCGTGTTGTTCTGGTGGTCCTGGGGATCAAACCCATGTCTTCTGCACCCAGCACTACTGTTTTTCATCCTGAGTCAGGGTCCTGCTGACTCACTAAGTTTCCCCAGTGGGGCTTGGGCTTGCAATTCTCCTGCCTCAGCCTCCCAGAGTACTAGGATGACAGGTGTGTTCCCTTTATACCTGGTGTGTTGTGTGTGTGTGTGTATGTGTGTGTGTGTGTAAGAGCATACAAGCACACATTTGTGTGCAGTGGTGAGTCACAACGTGTAGATCACTCCTGCAGATGTATACCCTCCAGACCACATGTACAGACACACATGACCCCATAGACACATGTGACCCTGTGGATACACAGACACCTAGCATGCTTTGTGTACATGAAAAGACATGTGCACACCCGTGGACTCACGGTGCACACCCCTTGTGGTTATGCACTCAGCGGGCAGCAGGCTCATGCAGGGTGGCTGAGCTGGGGAGGTTGGTGCCACTCTCCCGACCCATAGCCATCCCAGCCACGGAGGTGGTGCCTGCCCGGGGCCTGCCCTCACCACTACCTCCCTGCAGGAGCAAGTCCCAGTCCGAGGTGAGCCTGGAGGGCTTCTCCGAGGGCCGGCTGCTGTCCCCCGCAGCGGCTGCAACCACCCGCCAAGACCCCGTGGAACTGCTGCTGCTATCCACACAAGAGCGGCTGGCAGCTGAGCTACAGGCCCGGCGGGCGCCACTGGCCACCATGGAAAGCCTGTCGGACACTGAGTCACTGTACAGCTTCGACTCACGCCGCTCCTCGGGCTTCCGCAGCATCCGTGGCTCACCCAGCCTGCACGCTGTGCTAGAGCGCGGCGAGGGCCACCTCTTCTACATTGACCCGGCCATTCCCGAGGAGAACCCGTCCCTGAGCTCCCGCACTGAGCTGCTGGCCGCCGACAGCCTGTCCAAGCACTCACAGGACACGCAGCCGCTGGAGGCCGCCCCGGGCAGTGGCGGTGCCACCCCCGAGCGGCCCCCAAGTGTGGCCCGTACTGAGGAGGAGGCGGTGTCAGTGGTGGCCACAGACAGTGGTGGGGCGCCTTTTGGGGAGCTGGCCCTGCACAACGGCCGCCTGGGGGACTCTCCCAGCCCACAGGTGCTGGAGTTCGCCGAGTTCATTGACAGCCTCTTCAACCTGGACAGCAAGAGCAGCTCCTTCCAGGACCTGTACTGTATGGTGGCGCCTGAGAGCCCCACCAGTGACTATGCTGAGGGTCCCCGCTCCCCCAGCCAGAAGGAGATCTTGCTGCGGGCCCAATTTGAGCCCAACTTGGTGCCCAAGCCCCCGCGGCTGTTCGCTGGCTCAGCAGAGCCATCCTCGGGCATCTCCCTGTCCCCATCCTTCCCACTCAGCTCCTCGGGTGAGCTCATGGACCTCTCACCCACGGCCCTCAGCAGCCAGGAGTATCTGACGGCCGAGCAGGGCCGGACCTCCACTCCTGCCGGCCAAGGGGATGACCTGGTCATCCCAGCACGCTAGTTGGCACTGAGTGCTGCCACCAGGCTGGGTGGCTCTGAGGGGCTGGGTGGCCTCTAGCTGGGGCGCTGTAGTAAGTTGGGGGTATGTATCCCTACCTCAGCCTGGGACCCCCAGAGCCAGGCAGCAGGAACCTGGCCCTGTGGGGGAGGGCAGGTGGCCAGGGAGGCTCATCGGAGGGCATCCTATTCCCCAGTTGCAGGCAGGTGTGGGCAGCTATCCCCCCCCTGCTGCTAGCACTCGTTGGCACCTGCCCTGCCACTCCCAGCTCTGGTGCCTGCTGGCCAGCCCCTGGGGTGGCCTTGCCAAGGTGGCCACAGTGCTGCGTTTACAGAAGCTACCCACATGGCCCAGGCTATGCCACAAACTCCTGTGCTCTGTCTTGGGGTTAGGGATGCATAGGACTCCCCCGTCTCTGCTCCACTGCCCATGGTCCTGGGTACCCCAGCCTGCCCGACCTACTTGCTGTTTTCTGGCCCCCTTCCACCCTCAGGGACCCTGGCCACTCAAAGGGTGGTGGGCACTGCCAGTACCACCCCTGGCTGCAGAGTCAGCGCCCTGTGGGGAGAGAACACACCCAAGCCCCTTCCTCAGAGGGCCTCCTTGCCCTTTTGCACCCCTGCACCATGCCCAGCAGCCTTGGCCTGGAATCTGAAGCCAAATGCACTCCTGCCCCTGCCCTTGCTGGCCTGGGCCCTCCTGGGGCCCAGGCTACCCCTGTTCTCTGGGCAGGAAGTAGGGCCCAGTGCAGACCCTGTACTCGTCAGGGGTGGCTCCTTCCCTGCTGGGCAGGGAGGCCATGCATGCTGGCACAGGTGCGTATGTGCATGCGCCTTCTTGAGGGGCCCCGCCTCCTCAGCCCAGTCAGAAAAAGGTGCAGGGTGGCAGCTCCATCCTGCAGTGTGGTTCCTCCAGCCTGTCCCTCCTTGGGCCACCCCATCCCCTACCCTGACCCTGACCCATCTGTTGTCACCTGTACTTGGGCCTGGGTGCTCCTACCACACATGGCTGGGACCAGCTGCTGCCCCTCACTGGACAGAGGTTTGAGGCCTGTAGAGGGAGCTGGGTCTCCCTCTTTCTGCATCCCTGCCACACACCAGGCCCCACCCACACCCCTGCCCAGCCCCAAAGCAAGACAAGTCAGTGGCTCCTGGAACCCGAACCACTGGACTACCCCTCAGTCGGATAGACAAGGAGCCCCTCCACCAGGGGCATGGTCTAGCCCGGGGCGCCTGCACCATCAGGCACAGGCCATCCCCAACCCCGGCTGCCGCCGCACGGCCTTGCACACTGGCCGGGGTCCCTGCCAGCCTGAAGGACGGCACTGCACGACCCCGTCCATGGTGGGGGCCTGAGCCACCCTCAGCCTGGGGCTCGGACAGCCCCGACCCGCAGCACAAGCTCTCCACGGGCTGTTCCGCCCGCACTCGTGCCATCCCCAACTTTTGTACCTGATGTACAAAGGCCCACACTCCCTGCTGTACAGAGGAGCAACAGAGCTCTATAGCTTATCTATACATAGACCTGTACATACGGGTTCTGTACATGGGGTAGAGCTGTGTATAAATGGACATAGGAACTCGCTAGTCGCCTTGAGTGACCTCTCTTGCCACACGGGGAAGTGGCGGGGGGTGTCTGGAGCTGAACACAGGCCACTCGATGACTGGCTTACCCGGGAACCCCAGGATAGGAAAGCCCAGGAGGGATGGAAGAGATCTGCAGACCTGGGTGGCACCTGCCCTTCCACACAGCAGGGGTCGCTGTCCACAGCCTCTGGGCAGAAACATAAGAGCTGCAGGCAGCCTTCCTCGGGGACTGTGCTCCTGCTGCCCCCGTCCTCATAGCCTTGGGCCCCTGACCCTGCCAGTCTGCAGAGGAGAGTGGAGCCCAGCTCAGTGACCCCAGGAGCCAGGCTTCACTCTTCAGGTGGCTCTCATCTGCCTGGAACCCCTCATGACATGGGGGTGGCCCAGGCCTGGCTCTGAAGATGCACTTCTGTCCCACAGTACACAGGGTCTGGGGGTAAGGGCAGGGGTCCAGGGCCTCACAGGGGACCTGGCTGGGGAAGAACAGGCAACTCAGTGTAGTCTGGCCCCAGTCATGCGGGGAGAGGGGGGGGCGGCATGGTCAGTGCACAGCTGGGCCCCAGCGAGCCCAAGATCTACCTAGGGCCACACTGAGCTGCTCATTGTGCCTGCCGCTGGCCCGCACACCCTCCCCAAGTGAGAACTGTGGGGCATTGACCCTCCCCTGGCCACCAAGGCCTGTGACAACCACATCTGGGCTTGGGCACTGACCCTCTTCCCTGGGCTGAAGACAGAAGGGGGAAGGGCAGCTCTTGGAGTCACTTCCTGTGTCCACCTTGCTTTGGCCACCCAGTTGCTTCAGGTCCATCACCAATAATGGGCGTGGTCTTCTAGCCAGGCTGCTACACCGAACTCTGTTCTGGGAAGCCTGGGCCCAGGTGCTCCAGTGCAGGATGACCTGCTGGCTGGCAGGGATGTGCATGGCAGACAGCTGGGCTGGCACATGCCAAGGCTCTGGGGCAGGTGTGGGTCAAGACTTAGGGAGCTACAGAGATAAAAGCGGGAGCAGAGGTCCTGCCCAGTCCTTGCAGCTTAGCTGTGGGGTTGCAGAGAGTGCCAGGACCCAGCACAGTAGTGATAGTTGGGACAGAGAGGCCGCAAAGAGCTGCTGAGGTGGCAGCATGGTGAAGGTGAGGGTGGGCAGCTGAAGGTGGCAGGTGGGCGCCCTGGGGCACAGCTTGCTGTCTGGTCTTGGCCTCTCCTGGGTGGCTGCATCCAGCTCTGGGCCTGACCTGGGCCTCTTGGGCCTGCAGAGGCCCAGGCAGTAACCAGTGGCTGCTCACTGCACCTGTGGCTGCCTTGCTGGACAGCACCGGAGCTCTGCCTCAGGGCCGCACCATTGTCCTAGCCTGGCCTCCTTCTTAGCCCCCAGCCTGGCCTCGGTGAGGCAGCAAGGCAGACACCTGCGGGTCAGCGTTAGGGGCCTGCCAGTCACGGGAGAGGTCGGTGAGCCTGGAGGTGGGGCCACGGGCACAAGGGGCCGGTGCTTGGGTTGGGGGCGGGCCCTGGGGTTTGAGGGCTGGGTCAGCGAGTCCTTGGGGCAGGGTTAGTGGGTTAGCAGAGGTCTCTGGCTGCGGGGAGGAGTCTCTGCGGCAAGGGGCGGGGCCAGCGAGTCTGGGGCCAGGTCCGTGGACCAGGGGGGTGGGACAAGAGGGCGGGGCCAGAGTGGCTGGGCGGGGTCCAGGGCCACAGGGGCGGGGCCGAGACGGGGGTAGGGCGCGGGCGGGACCAGGCGGCCGAGGCGGGACGTTGGCGGCTGCTGTGCGGCGCCCGGGCCGGGCTGCGGCTCCAGCGGCGGTCATGGAGGTGGTGGACGAGACCGAGGCGCTGCAGCGCTTCTTCGAAGGTGAGCGCCGCTCCGCGCCGCGCCACGCGGCATCTCCCGCGTCAGCCGGAGGACCTGGCTCCCTGTGCCCGTCACGCGGCGACCCCCGGCCCCCCCGCGGCAGGGACCTCGAGGAGGCGGGGACTGCTCTGAGACTGCTCCCCTCCCTGTCCCTGGGACCCGGGAGACCTGGACCCTTTCTGTGACGATCCCTCCACTTGGGGCTGGGAGCCCCCTCAGAGATGCCCCTGCACTGAGACCCCCTCTTTGAGACCGTCCTCCTGGCGGTAGGACTCTCGGGACCCCCTTTGAGGCCGCTCCCCACCTGGGACAGGGACCCCACACTGCCTTCCAGGGTTGGGTCCTGTTCGAAGCTGCGGTCCGCACAGCGCCGCGCACGGCCCATCTGTTCTGGGAATCCCCGGGCCGGGACTGTCCTGCAGCAGCCGGCCCTGCAATGCTGCGCCCCAAACCTATCCCCAGCACCGCCTCCGAGGAGCGACCTGAGCGAGCTGCTGGGATGGGACCTGCGCACACCTCAGGCATTTCCCGCATCTCGCCCTGGTTTTCGGGTTCTGCCCTGTCTGTTCACCCACCCTACTTCCCCTGCCTCCAGGGTGCCTGGGGGACAAAGAGGTTAGGTTTCTTCTCCTAGCCCCATGGCCGCTCCGTGCACGGCTGGGACCTCTGGCCAAGCCACTGATCCCTTGTGCTGCTCTCCACTGTCTTGGGGAGCCCCTACCCCTACTCTGTAAGCTTGCATCCTGTTCCTCTCTCCTGCCTCTGGGAATAGCATGCCTGGGTTGTGGGGCTACATCCCATACCTGTGGGAGTCTCTGGGCAAACGAAGCCTTTTCCTGCCTTGGTTTCCCCATCTGTGATGTGAGAACCAGCCTTGGTAAGGGCATCCCACCGACGCCTGGCCCCCAGCAGGCCCAAGGCCTGAGGCCTCAGGTGCAAATGAGGTCAAGCAGTCTGCCCTGGGGTAGCAGGATTGTTTGGGGGGTGCAAGGAATTCTCATCAGACCCAGGACCCCTGTTCCCATACACTGTTCATCATCCATGGGTGGGGGGATGTCCCAGGGTAGAGGAAGGGACACTAGGGTGCCTTCAGGGGGGTCCGCTAGGTGACCCGGTGACCCATGGCCAGAGCCTCTTCACCTCTCCTTCCCAGGACCCTGGGCCAAACTTCCCCTCCTGGCCCTGGGTGGGGGTGGGGGCTGACGCCATGGCTTAGCCATGCACTGCCTGGCAGGGAGGCTGCGGCTCCTCCAGAGATAAGAGGAGCTGAAGAATGTGGTGGGGAGCAGGGCGGGGTTCGGCGCCCTCCCAGGAGGCCAGGAAAACTCTCCAGAGCCCTCAACGGGGGATGGGGAGAGCTCTGGGGACCCTGTGAGAGGAATAGTGTGGGGGTCTAGCTGGGTGACAGCTCAGGGTCCAGGGCTGATGGACGCTGCCCTGAGGACAAGCGTGGAGCACAGTGGGCCAAGACAGAAGCCAAGCTCCTTCTTCCTGCGTCCTTGGTTTCCTGGTCCCACATGGCCTCCACCTGTACACTGGACAGTGGGCAGAGGCTCTGGGTGAGCAGGGAGCTGGGAAGAGCTCTGATGTGTGCCCCTCTCCTGGTCCTGTCCTGAGGGTGCTGTCTGGGGGCTAAGGAGCTTTGTGCCCAGGTGGGAGGCTGGTACCGCAGCTCCCGTGACCGCCCGCTAATCCCCTCAGAAGAGGCGCCGGCAGCCCAGACCGAGGGCACAGGGCCTGTGGACGGGACCTGCCGGCAGGATGCACTGGCTGCCACCAGGTAACCGGGCTTGGTGGCAGGCAGCCTCCTTATCAGCTGCCCATTGGGCTGTGGAGCCCCAGAGCTGGGTTGGGGACAGGACAGGGCCACGTCGGAGGGTCCAGCTAGGACCAGAGAGGCCCCCACAGGGTGGCTGCAGGATCTGGGGGACCTGTGCAGAGGCCTTACTTTCTGTGGCTCCTTACCTGCGCTGCAGGATGGGAACAGGTGGCAGAGAAAATTCCCATGATGCCCAGGAAGGAGGATGTTTCAGAGGACATGGGCTGGGCCCAGAAGTGGGTGGGTGCCGGCCTCTGATTCCAAGCAGCCTGCTCGCAGGGAAAGCAGGCGGTGTGGAGGGACCCTGCTTCCTCCTATACCAGGCTGGGGCAGGGCTTTCAGGGATGGAGAGAGGGAGAGATGTCCCTGCAGTGGCAAGATCTGGGTCCAGCTGGTATGGCCTGGGTGGCTCTGGGACCCCTGCTGGTCTGTGTCCCAGGGGCTGGGTTGGGGGGAGGCAGCCAGGCTTCATGCCTGAGATGAGAAGAGAGTTCCTCCTGGGGCCACCAGCACCAGCACCCCCAGACACCTGTCCCAGTCCTGTCCATGAGCCCATTGTACATCCTGACACAGGTCCCGGGCTGGACCAGGACATGACAGTGAGGGTCCGACTTGCCAGTACCGGGACCAGGAACAAGGGGTGACAGGAACGTGCTCAGGGGGCAGGAGCCACATCGATATCTGGGCAGAGGTCTGGGACATCCCGATGCATGCAGCCCACAGCCCCAGGGCCTCACCTGGTCTGGGCTGCACAGTGCACACCCAGGGGCTTGGGCAGCACCTGGAGGCCTCCTCCCTGGGACCCGGCACCCTTCCCACTCCCAAGGGGTTCCAGCCTCAGGCCCTGGGCTGCTGGGTGGCAGCCCATGGGTGCCCATTGGTCGCTGCCTTTGGACTTTGCCCTCCCGATAAGTGTGCAACAGGAATCATTAACTGAATCATTAACCAGCCCCTACCCTGCCCAGCCCTCTCCATTTCTACCTTCCTCCTCCTCCTCCAGCCCAGCATGCCGAGCTGGGCCTCAGTTTCCCACAAGACCTGGGCACTGGGTGTGGCCTGGGGCCTGGCCGTGTCCAGCCAGGGCTGGAGGGCAATAAGTGGCTTTGGGCAGCAGTCTTGGTGGTGTATCTGCACCTGCGCTCCCATGCACATCTGTAAAATGGGCATGCAGTTCCAGGCTGGTTTGTGCCTGCCTCTCAGGGGGCATTGGGGCCCGTGAAACAGTGCCTGACCTCTCAGCCCCCACTTGCGTACTATCTCTCCCAGGGCAGGTACCCCACACCCCGCCTAGGGAGTCACCCTAGGCAACTGGCAGTTGCCTGTGTCCTGTGCATGGGGCCTGGGCTTCTATAGGGCCTGGTCCCCAGCCTGTCCTACAGGCCCCTCCCTCCTCAGGACTTCTTGTTGTCTGATCAGGGCAGGGTTTAGTCCTCTTTTGGCTTGGCCTGGGGTTCCTGAGATGCTGTGGAGGGTAGGTGGTGATCCCCTTTACCAAAACAGAGCTAAGTGGAAAGGAAGTATCTGTGGGCCCACTGAGGGTAGGTTCGGGGAGCAGGCCTGACGCCCTGGGTGACTGTGGGGTGCAGCCAGGGGGCAGGGCACAGGTCCTAATACAGAGCTCATGCCACACTGACTGGGTCTGCACCGTGTGACCAGTGGCTCCTCACACATGTGGCCCAGTCCTGCTGTCTTGTTCCCCCACCAGGACCTTCCATAGGGCAGTGGGTCCTGCCAACTGCCTATCACTCACCTGCCCCCAGACAGGACAGCGGCTGGAGCTGTCTCATCTGTCCTAGAGCCTCAGGCCAGCATGGCCCAAAACCCTGGCCTGGGGGAGCTCTTGCAGGAGAAGGGTACCCATGGGGCATGCTCATGTGCTGCCTGTGAGCCCCGAAGCCCAGACCAAGCAGAGGTGCCTGGAGCCCCAGCTTGCAGCTGCTGGCCTCAGTCCTCTTGGGCTGGCCTAAGGGCATCTGGGGCTGTGGGTTTGGGGTGTGTGGCTCCAGCACGGGACAGGGAGAGGGAAAATACCCCACTGAGCACCCACCCTGCAGCCCCTGGGTGAGGGGCATGAGTCCCGCCCATGAAGTGGGGTTTGCATGGAAGCCAGGTCCCTCTCAGCCCCTAGTTCTGGGGCCCTCGATAAGCCAGGGCAAGCAGAAGCTGACCCCGCTGCTACCTGCAGCCAGGATGCCCCAGGTCGATACCTGGCAGGAATGTGGGGAGAAGGGCATAGGCCCCATGCACCCCAGGTCCACATCACTCTCCTGGCCAGCATCCTTGGGCCTGGCCCACCCTGGCCATGGCCACGTGGCCGACGGGATTTCCGCCATGTTTGGGGCATGAATTGACAAGTGCCCCATTGACGGGGCAAGGAGGGGGTGGGCAGGGCACAAGCCTCCCACTGTGTGGCGTCCCCACCCTCCCACCCCCAGGACAATGGCCTGGACTCAGCCAGCAGCCACAGCTGGTGGGGGGGGGCGGGAGGGAGGGGTTCGGGTGGGGACACCTGGGTCCCCGCCTGTCGCATCCTGCACCTGGCTCCTCTCCTGCCCAACACGGTGGTCTCAAGGGGTGGAGGAGCAGCAGGGCTGGGGCTAGTGGCCCTCAGTGCAGACCCCCACCCATCAGCCAGGCCAGCCTCTGGCTCCTGTCACAAGCAGGTAATAAAGGGCCAGTTAATGGTGAGGAGCCGGGGCCTGGCCTGCAGGAAGACCCCATGCAGCCGGCCTGGTTGCTTTCCTGAGTGCCATGGTGCACACTCACTTTTTGGATGAGGGTTGCACACCCTCTCCCATTCCTGGAAGCCATGGGGAGAGGTCCCTACACCTGCACCTGGGAAGGGAAGCCACCTGGGTCCCAGGCCAGACAGGAGGGGGCCACAGGACATGAGAGCAGCATGTGAGAAGGTGCTGCCCAGCAGGGTCTGGGGAATGTGCTGCCCTGGGCGGGGTGGCCACACTGGTCTCTAGGCTCCTCCTGGGCCATGGGAATGGCTGCAGAGCTGGCAGTAGGACAGAGAGGAGGAGAGGACACTGTGACCTTGTGCTGTTGCCCCTTTTTGGAGTTTGGCCCACCCTGCCCAGGATGGAAATGCAGCTCTTCCAGCGATGCTAGACCCAGGCTTCCTCAGGCAGTGATGTGGGTACCTGGGAGTATGCATCGGCCCAGGACCGTTTCTCATGGGTTGGTGGGATGGGTGGGCCTGCTGCTGGTGGTGAGGGGGCAACCCTGGTGGGCAGAAGCTCCCAGGCAGGTAGGTGGGGTCCACATCCACGCCCCACCCCTGCCTGCACTCCCACCCTCCCCCACCCTGCCTGCCGGCCGTCCCTGGCACCGAGGGTCCCACCCCCCCCAGCCACATCTGGATCTTGTTAGGGTCTCCAATCGCCTTGCACCTGGGGGAGGTGGGCAGGAGGATTAGGGTGATAGGAGCTCCTGGCAGAAGAAGGCAGTGATAAACAGCACCACCATGAACACGTAGCAGCCTCATCCAAGGCGGACTTCAAGTTCAGTCTCAAGCCCCCCACCTCTAGCCCCACCCCTGCCCAGCCCTGCCACCCAGGCTTTGAGCATTGTGCTGTTTTGTTTGGGTGAGATGTGACCACTCTGGGCAGTGAGCGGCCACCCCAACCCAAGTTTAGAGGAGGCCTGGAGGGCAGTGCAGGAGCCCTGTCCTGTTGTCACCCCACCTCAGTGTCACTTTCGTCACCCCTTCATGCCTGGCAGGGCTAAGTAACACACTGCCAGAAAGAAGGACCCACTGGGAGGCCTCAGCAGGCCTGGCACTCGGCAGGGGCTGTAATTGGGCATGGTGCTTTGAGGTGGCTGCAGCTGTGGGCTCCCTAGGCCATCAGATGGGACCTGCTGGGGGCCCCACCAGGCGCAGGCTCATGACTCCTGGGAGGGCTTAACTGCTCATTAATCACCTAAGCGGGGCTCAGCATTCTTGAAATGCCGGCTGGGGCCAGGGAGCGGCCAGGGCCGGGGGCTCTTTGGACCCTGGGCCAGGGCTGAGGCTCGAGCCCCAACTGCACTATACAGTGCAGAGCTGGCCCCACTTTCCAAATGGGGAGACCAAGGCCCAAGAGGTGTCCTGCCCCATCACCAGGCAGGGAAGCGTGAGGCGCAGACCTGGCCCAGGAGCCCAAGGGAGGGGTCCTCCTGCCTTAGTAAGGCTGCTGGCTCAGGTCAGCAGTGTGGGAGGAACCTTCCCGCATTATCAGGGTGACGCATCTCCCACGTCAGCCCCCTTATCACCCACTCTCGGCTCCCCACCCCCCCGCAAGGTGACCCTGGGAGGGGAAGTTGGCAACATCTCCCTGGCCTCAGGATGTCCAGGCCCCATTCCTGCCCTGCGCCCTTGCCCATGGGAGGAGGGAGGAACAGGGCTGGGGGGGGGGTTGTCCCCTGGGGACATGGGCAGTGGGCTGTCCATGGAGCACTACCGTACCTGCCTCCCTGAAGCTGAGGTGCCTTTGGCTTCTCCAGACCCAGGTCCCCTAGAATGTGTGATCCCACCTTGCCAGCCTTGGATCACTGGAGGATGGGGCAGGATAGTCCCTGCTGGGTCCAGGCCCCAGCAAGCACCTCACTGTTCCTCCTGGCACTCAAACACTGGACTAAGGGCCTGCATCTCAGACTCAACCCCTGGTTGTGCTGGCCATCTGTCTGAGAAGGAGTTGTGTGGCAGGAATGACTTCTCTGTCTCCAAATGCACACCCTGTGGTTGTCCTGTTGCCCTCTTAGGCGAGGGATGCCATTGAGAGTCCTGGAGGGGCCTGGTGGTGGACAGCAAAGGCCCCTGGGGTGCAGGCAAGTGGGACTGGGGTCCCCAGGGAGCTTGACCAGCTGTGGCCTCCCTGCAGGCCATGACATCAATGGTGCCCTGGAGCCATCCAACATCGACACCAGCATCCTGGAGGAATATATCGGCAAGGAGGATGCATCTGACCTGTGAGTGGCCCGGGAGCCCCATGCCCCCCACCTCGCCCCTGCCTGGGCAGCACTGAGCCCCTCCCTCTCCACAGCTGCTTCCCTGACATCTCCACGCCTGCCAGCTCGACCTCCTATCCCCACTCGCAGCCTGGGGTCCCTGGCTCCAGTGGGGGACACCACCTGAGCCCCACAGCAGGGGGACCCTCCCCGGGGCGCCAGGGTCCCCTTCCACCCCCGAACTACGGCACCCCACTCAACTGTAACAACAACAATGGCCTGGGCACTGCCCCCAAGCCCTTCCTAGGGGGCTCCGGGCCACCCATCAAGGCTGAGCCCAAAGCGCCCTACGCCCCAGGGTGAGTGGGGGTAGGGGGTGGCAGGGTGATGGGGGCTGCTCTGGGTCCTCAGCGGGGTGATGCAGGCCACGGTCCCTGAGCTGCTTTCTGAAAGTCCCCCCTTCTGAGGGTCCATGAGCCTCAGGTGGCCTGGCAGAGCTGTGGGAGTCCTGTTGCCCCGGTCCCGGTGGGGCACTGGGTGGGTGATGGCCACCGACATGATCAGCTTTGGGGGCAGGCAGGGGCTGGGCTTGGTGCAGGAGGAAACTGTACAGAGGGCAGGTGGACTGCCTGATGCCCCAGCGCTAGGCCACAGCTACCTGCACAGAGGGGGCAGGGTGAGTTTGCACACTCTGGCCGGGACCCTCATCTGCTCAGGCTGTGAGAGTGAGCAGGGTCTCCCGGAGCCTGGCCATTGCTGACACAGCCACATAGAGATCCTGGCTCAGGCCTCTTCACTCATTGGTGGGGATCAGGTGTGGCCCTGTGGGCTTGGGCAAAGCAGGGGTGCTCAGTGTTTCACTCTCTAGGGGTCTGGGGACTCTGAGCCCCCCTCTAGGGCCACATGCAGCCCCGGAGTCCAAGCCATCACTGTGAGAAGAGAAACTGAAGGCTTTGCCTGGAGAGCACAGGTCCCAGGGGTAGCCCTGGGCCCCGGCAGGGCAGTGGATGTGAGTGACCCTGCCTCAGCCCCACGGCTGTGGTCAGGCAGCTGCAGGCCCAGCTGGTCAGCTCACTGGGCCTGAGGTGATGGCAAGGGGTGCAGGCTGAGGCCCTGTCCACTTTTCTCAGCTTTCTTTGCCAAACTTTATGATCTGTATTCTCTATTTTACTTTTTTTTAGTACTGGGAATTGAACTTTTGCACTGAGTTACAGTCCAGCCCTTTTTATTTCTTATTTTGAGATAGGGTCTCACAAAGTTGCTGAGTTGTCCAGGCTGGGCTCAAACTTGCCATCCTCCTGCCTCAGCCTCCCAGGGTGCTGGGGTCCAGGCAGGCGGCTCTGCTAGCTGCTTAAGGGTCTGTTTCTTGAGTTGGCTTCTTAGCTCCAGATATGAGGTGGATGGGTGGCCTGTCCTGGGATACTGGGACTCCAGAATTGGCACCAGACAGCACACAGGAGGTTTGGTGGCCACCCAGAGGGGATGTTCTTCAAGCGAGGGGCAGGGACAGCTGCAGAGCCGGGCCCTTTGTGGCCACAGCCTCCCCTCACTGGGCGGGCATGGGCTTGCACACAGGACGTGTTGACCTCTGGGGCTTGAGTTTGTTCTTTCTCATGAACCACTGATAAACAAAACTGGCAAGAAAAAAAGCAGCCAGGCCCTGTGAAGCTGGCGCCCTGCCCAGCCCACACCTGCCTCTGGGGGACCCCTGAACTTTCAGAAGACAGGATGTGAGGTGCTATCATTAGGGACCCAGACCCTGGCACACAACAAGCATAGGGCTGAGGTTGGGAGTCTGAGACCCCCACCCACATGGGGCACTCCAGGCAGGTGGCATGGACAGATGGCACTTGGCACTGTGAGGAGCCTTTGGGGGTCTGGGCCGCCCCAGGGCACCTGTGGCTTGACGCCCAACAGCTCCTCTGGCCCACAGCATGCTGCCCGACTCGCCCCCTGACTCGGGCTCCGAGGCCTACTCCCCCCAGCAGGTGAATGGTGAGTCCAGGCCCAGGCCACCTCCCTGCGTGGACTGGCTGGTTGGGGCAGCCTTATCAGAGGGTGGCGGGAGGCGGGGTGGGGGGCCTGGGCTGCCCAACTGTGAGATTATCACTAGTCAAATACTCTCCGGCCTGGCTATTGGGCCTGGCTATTGTTTCCCCACTCTGGCGGGTGGGGAGTGGGCCCCTGTCTCCAGCCAGTGTCCCCACCGGGGATGCCACCCGCCCAACCACGGTGCCATCATGGACTCACCCTTCGGTGGTAAGTGGCTGAGGGCAATGCCTTCTGGGCGCACAGGGGCGCAGCGGCCCCCAGGTGGCCGGGCACAGAATGACCTGGTGGCCGAGTGGATCGGGAGAGCTGTTTATCTTACCCAACATGCCTGGAATGCCTGCCAGGAGCAGGGGGCTACAGCCTCCCCAGAGGACTGGCCAAGGAGCTGGGCTCCAGGGGTGCTGTGGTGCTGGGGGCCTCCTGAGGAGGGCCGAGGTGGGCTGGGGGTACAGGTGCTGGCCCTGCCCACCTGGGGGATGAGACATGGGCAGGGAAGGTTGAGGGTCTCCCCAGGTCCTGTGGCCAAAAGCAGCAGACTGGCCTAGGAGGAGGACACGCCGTCCCCAATGCCTCTTCTTTCCTGCAGACCCCCGGCTCCTGCGCACCATCACTCCAGAGACTCTGTGCCACGTGGGGGTACCCTCTCGCCTGGAGCACCCGCCCCCACCCCCACCCCACTACCCTGTCCTGCAGCGCGACCTGTACCTGAAGCCTGAGCCGCCACTCCCGCCCTATGCTGCCATGGGCCAGGGGTTGGTGCCCGGCGAGCTGCACCATGCCCAGCAGCCGCAGATGCTCCACCAGCTGCTGCAGCACGGAGCTGAGTGAGGCCCGGGCCAGGGGTGGGCAGTGCAAACAGGCACCCTGGACAGGGTGCCTGGCAACCAGCTGGGACCCCAGTGGCCACACCTGCAGTCTTCAATCTGTTTTCCTATTGAAGTTTCATCATTGAACCAGGCATGGTGGCTCATGCCCGGGATCCTAGCACTTGGGAGGCTGAGGCAGGAGGATTGCCATACATGCAAGGCCAGCCTGCACTACATAGTGAGACCCTGTCTCAAAAAAAAATTTTTTTTTTCAGTTTTCTTCAAGGAAAGATGCTGCTGTCAAAACTTGTAGAGGAAAGGGCAGGTCTCTGAAAGCCCAGCCTGTGTGGCCCGGGCCTCAGAGGCTAGATCTGACTCAAGGCCCTACTCAGTAGACCCGTAGCTAGGGAAGGGGCCCAAGGCTGGGGTGACAGGGCACAGAACAGTGTCCTGGACTCCAAAGTCAGGGATAAGGGAGTGAGATGGTGGTGCCCAAGGTGCCCCAGGTTGGGGGGGGTCCTCTGGGAGGCTGGGCACTGCCCAGGCATGGGTCACAAGAGCCAGCCCCATGGCGATGCCTGTGTCCCCCCAGACTTCCCACACACCCTTCCAAGAAGAGGAAGCACTCCGACTCGCCCCCCAACACTCTCAACACCCAGATGTTGAACGGCATGATCAAACAGGAGCCAGGGACCGTGACGGCGCTGCCCCCACACCCTGCCCGAGCCCCATCCCCGTCCTGGCCCCCACAGGGGGCCCTGTCCCCGGGCCCCAGCTCCCTGCCCCTCAGCATTGCCCGGGCGCAGACACCGCCTTGGCACCCACCTGGGGCGCCCTCTCCAGGTATATGATCTGAGCCCTAGGAGTGGGGCATGGGCAGTGGGCCAGGCCCTGGCCACATGGGTGCCCCCCCTGCAGGTCTCCTGCAGGACAGTGACAGCCTCAGTGGCTCCTACCTGGATCCCAACTACCAGTCCATCAAGTGGCAGCCCCATCAGCAGAACAAGTGGGCCACTCTGTACGATGCCAACTACAAGGAGCTGTGAGTCACTGCACCCCATCAGGGGCACCTATCTCCCTCAGGGACTGGGACCCTCAATCCCCAGGGAGGCGCTCCAGGCCCCATTGGAGGAAGTGGCCATGTGTACCCAGCCCCTCCTTCCCCACTCTCCACCTCCTCCTCCCCTGCATTCCAGGAAGATGGCGGAAGCCTGGGTCACTGGGCCCTGCCCATAGCCTGGGCCCTGCCAGGAGGTGGGTGGGGGCCCTGGCAGAGGTTTTCCCTGGGCATTCCTGCCCTGCTCCAACACCCGGCTGTGGGCGGACAACTCCCCTCTCCTCTGGAAGGAAGGCTAGGTGGGTGAGAGGGCAACTTTCTTCTGCTCAATGGGGACAATGCCAGGCCCAGGCAAGGTGGCCTGCTGGAGCCAGGTGCCCTGGAGCACAGGGTTCCCCCAAGGAAACCCCCAGGCGGAGTAGGGGCCTGGCCAATTTGCCAGTGGAGGTGGCCGTGAAGTAGGCCTGGGTAAGGGGGAGTCCTGGTGGAGCCCAGTTCCCCCCATCTTCCTTGGCCCAACCCAGCTTCTCAGGCCTGGGCCAGACATTGGGATAAGTGGCACCTCCAGATGGCCTTCGTCCTTGCTTTCCTGCTGGGGGGGGTCGAGAGGGAAGAGGGGTGAGGCCCGAGGCCTCCCAGTCAGGGAGGAAGTGTACTCCCTGCCCATCAGGTATACCTGTGACAGCCAGGCCGCCCTATGCCAGGGACCATTTGTGGGTGGCCAGGACTGAGGCCAGTGGTTGTGCTCTTTAGCTACCCAGTGTTCCCCAGAAGGAGATGGTCCAGGGACATCTCAGAGGGAGAGTCCCCAAGCACCCCCTCCCTGCTGGGCAGAGCAGACAGGATGGGTGGGGGCCTCAAGCAAGCCAGCGGGCAGGGTCTGGGTGCGGAGCCGGCACCTGGTTCCACCGTTCCCATGGCAACCAGCTGTCAGGCCCCTGAGGCTGTGCAGACTCGCCCCCGGCCCCACATCCCCTCCTGGGAGGCTGTGCGTGGTGGGGGGCCTTGAGGCACCTTCTGGGAACTCCATGTTGGAGGCCCTAGGTTCACCCTACGCCTGTCGGCGTAATACACGCGGAGAAGCGTGTATGGGAACACTTGGGACTTGGTTTCTGCTTCTGGGGCACACAAGTCCTCACTGCAGGACAGAGGTTGTTGGGGTGCAGGGCAGGGCAGGTGGCCAGAGGGACACGGTGACCCATGCATGCCATCGCTGCCCCCAGGCCTATGCTCACCTACCGAGTGGATGCTGACAAAGGCTTCAACTTCTCAGTGGGCGATGACGCCTTTGTGTGCCAGAAAAAGAACCACTTCCAGGTCACGGTGTACATTGGCTTGCTGGGCGAGCCCAAGTTCGTGAAGACGCCCGAAGGCCTCAAGCCGCTTGACTGCTTCTACCTGAAGCTGCACGGAGTGAAGGTCAGGAGACTTGTCCCTCCCCCCTCCCCCTCCCATGTCCATGGCCCCAGGGCCCCATACCCCTCTTACTCTGGTCTTCAGACCCTGCCGTGACACAGGAGGTCATGGCCAGCCACCTTCTAAGGTCTGGCTTTCCCTGGCACAGCTGGGGAAGCTGCAGCTTCTGGAGGGGCACTAGGGCCCATTATTCATCCCAGCCTGCCTTGTGCTACCCCCAGACCTCCCTGTCCCTTCACAGCCTCTCAAGGGGCCCCATCCCAAAGTGCCCTCCCATCCCCTGGACCTCTATAGTGACAGGCAGGGTAGGGGCAGGGGCAGCCCCTAGGACTGTTGTGGTCGCCTTGGCATAGCTGCAGGAGGTCCAGGTGTGTGTGCTGGAGTCTCTGTGTCTGGCCTGGGTAGTGAAGGAGACCCTGGTGGGCGCCTCCTGAGCGCCTCACCCTGTGCCCTGCAGTTGGAGGCCCTGAACCAGTCCATCAACATCGAACAGTCGCAGTCAGACCGCAGCAAGCGGCCCTTCAACCCCGTCACGTGAGTGTCCCCATACCAGAACCATCAGGGGCACCTGCAGTACCCCTGCCTACTGCAGCCTGGCCTGTACCTCCTGCCTGCCCTGAGCAGCTGTGCGTGCTCCGCAGGGTCAGTTTGCCCCCTGAGCAGGTCACCAAGGTGACTGTGGGGCGCCTGCACTTCAGCGAGACCACTGCTAACAACATGCGCAAGAAGGGAAAGCCCAACCCTGACCAGAGGTGAGGCAGGGTGCCACCTATGGAGCACGGGGCCCAGGGCACTGTGACCCAGTGCTGCAGGCACCTGGGGACTGAGGGGCAGAGGCGAAGGCAGCCGGGATGTCTGCCCCCTAGTGGACACGTGGGGAGAGGAATGGTGCACCCAGCGGCTGCCACCGAGTGCCTTGGCCTGTGTGTCCAGGTACTTCATGCTGGTGGTGGCGCTCCAGGCCCACGCGCAGAATCAGAACTACACGCTGGCTGCACAGATCTCGGAGCGCATCATCGTACGGGTGAGGCTCTCCCACATTGGGAGGACGGGTGTGGGGGATGGCTGAAGGTGTTGGGGGTGTTGGGTGAGGGGGTTGTGGGATGGTACCTGGTTAGGCCTGGAGAAGCAGCTGGGGCCCCTGTCCCAGGGCCTGCAGGTACCCATCCAGCACTGACTCAGCCCCAGTGTGTACTAGGCTTCCAACCCGGGCCAGTTTGAGAGCGACAGCGACGTGCTATGGCAGAGGGCGCAGGTGCCTGACACTGTCTTTCACCACGGCCGTGTGGGCATCAACACTGACCGGCCAGACGAGGCACTGGTAGTGCACGGCAACGTCAAGGTCATGGGCTCGCTGCTGCATCCCTCGGACCTGCGCGCCAAGGAGCACGTGCAGGAGGTGGGTGGGGACAATGGCTGGAGGGGTCCAGGGTACCATACCCTCCACCTAGGTGCCCTTTCCTGCTGCCCTGGCCACTCTGCCACTGGGCTAAACCTGGCTGTCCCTGCAGGTGGACACCACGGAGCAGCTGAAGAGGATCTCACGCATGCGGCTGGTGCACTACCGCTACAAGCCGGAGTTCGCTGCCAGCGCGGGCATTGAGGCCACAGCACCAGAGACCGGTAAGGACACAAGCTCTTTGCTCCCAGGGGTTCCTCCTTGCCCCTTGACCCAGAAGCCCAACTCCTATCCCCAGAGGTACAGGCCCCCATTTCCTGAGAAATGCCCTTGCCTCTGGAGCCCCGCTTCCAGCCCCCCTCTGGTATGTCCCAGTAGACACCTAACTGCAGGCTGCCCCTACTGGCATGCAGGTGTCATTGCCCAGGAAGTGAAGGACATCCTGCCCGAGGCTGTGAAAGACACTGGAGACGTGGTCTTTGCCAATGGGAAGACAGTGGAGAACTTCCTGGTGGTGAACAAGGTGGGCGGGGTGCCAGCTGCTGGGGAGGTAGGATCCGCTGGGAGTACGCACATCCTGGCCCAGTGCCAAGTCAGAGGCCGAGTCCGTGTGCCTGCTGGGTGTGTGCTGAAGCCTACACCCACAGGAGCGCATCTTCATGGAGAATGTGGGTGCCGTCAAGGAGCTGTGTAAGCTCACAGACAACCTGGAGACGCGAATCGATGAGCTAGAGCGCTGGAGCCACAAGCTGGCCAAACTGCGGCGCCTCGACAGTCTCAAATCCACTGGCAGCTCTGGAGCCCTCAGGTGGGCTCATGGGGGAGCAGGGCAGGGCGGTGGGGTGCAGGCGCCCAGGATGCCCAGCCCTGACTCAGCCTGCCCCACAGTCATAATGGCAGCCAGTTCAGCCGAGCAGGCAGCGTCCCCCACAAGAAGAGGCCCCCAAAGGCACCCAGCAAGGTAAGTGGGCAGGCTTGGGGGCTCGGTCTCCTCCCCCTCCCTGACCCCGCTCCAGGGGCCCCACAGGCTGCCTCAGTTCCCTCTTCTGCTTCTCCCTTCCCCTACTCAGTCGTCCCCGGTGGTCCCTGACCAGGCCTGTGTCAGCCAGCGCTTCCTGCAAGGAACCATCATTGCCCTGGTTGTGGTCATGGCCTTCAGGTGACACCCTGGGGGATGGGGGTGTGTGGCATGGGAAGGGAAGTGGCCAAAGTCTCCAGGGAAGGGGCTGGGAGCCCCCACCCAGGCCGCAACAGGGGTCGCTGGTGGTGGCCCTGGCTCTGACAGTTCCTGTCTTGCGCTGCCAGCGTGGTGTCCATGTCCACACTGTATGTGCTGAGCCTGCGTGCTGAGGAGGACCTGGTGGATGCTGATGGGTATGTCCAGGGTCAGGCTGGGTTTGCGGGGATGGGGCAGCTGTCCCAGTTACCTGTTGGCTCTGGGTCTCTTGGTCCTGCTCGGCTCCGGGACAGGAAGCAGCCAGGGTAGGACTGGGCCATCACCTGCTGCTACCCTCTGGCTCAAGGCCACCTCTGACTGTCTTCTCTCTCCTCCCACCCTGGTCTCCTTCTTGGCTCTGTGTACTTAGCCCTCTTGCTGTGTCCGCATCCTGTCTCCTGGCCTTGCTCCGGCCCCAGCGCGCTGGGGGGAGTGTGGCCACGTGCCCATGGTATGTGCGACTGCGCCACTCACACATCCTGTCTGCCGTCCCATCTCCTCCTCCAGCCTTCCCGCCCTGGGCCACCCCACAACCCCGGCCCTGAGCTCCTGCCTTCCCCAGCAGGTCCAGCCAGAGCTTCGGGACCACACGGCTCCGCCAGTCTCCCGTGACCCCTGGGCTGCTGGGTAGGCAGCCCTCTCTGCCACCAGGTGTGTGCCAGGCAGGGCTGGGCCTAGCCGAGCAGGTGGGATGGGAGGTCCAGGGGCCTCATTCTGGGCTCACGCAGACGCCTGCTTCCTCAGAGACTCCTGGCCCAAGCCCTGTGGCCCCAGTCCCAGCAATCCGTGCCTTGGACCTGTGTTCCAGCTACCCCTGCCCTGTCCTCTGCTGTGGCACACCTAGCCCAAGCCCTGCCTCACATGCCTCTCATCCCAGCCCCAGCACTGCTGCCAACCACTCAGGTGCGGCCTCCCAGCCTCCGGGGTGGGATAGGGGCCGGGAAGCACCCAGAAGACCCACAGGTGGGAATATCTCATGGCCCAGGGCAGAGTGAAGCCCCAGGAGGCCTAGGGAGCCCCCTGCAGGAACCCTGGGGACACAGACTCCACCAAGCTTTAGGCTATGACTAAGGCTTTAGGCTTTAGGCTATGAGCTTTAGGCACCAGTGCCCTGTCCTCAACTGCCCCAGTTCTGTCCACAGGCCCCAGCCAGGTGGCCCTGCTGCCCATCACCAACATCAGAGCCAAGTCTTGGGGCATCTCTGCCAACGGCATCGGCCACGCCAAGCACCCCAAGGCCATGGAGCCTGCGGTCAGCCCCGCAGTCCCCTTCCCTGGGGGGCCGGGCAAGGCCAAGAACAGCCCCAGCCTTGGGCTCCGAGGCCGGGCCCGCCGAGGGCTCCCCCCGCCCAGCCCCTCTGCAATGCAGCGCCAGCAAGGTATCTACCTCCCCACACCCCAGCCTGGTCACAGCACTCTGTGGCCCGGTCTCATAGTGGCCCGCACCCTGCAGTAGACCCTCTCTGAGTGCAGTAAGTCAGCACCCAGCCCTCTTGCAAGGAGGCCGCAGCACCCATCCACTCTAAGCGAGAGTCCAGGGAAGGCTTTGTCCAGGGTGGGCAGCAGGGAGAATCTACCACCTCTGCCAGGCTGACCCGTCACTGTGACAGGGTGGTTCGCACAGATCCTCAGCCTTGAACCTTTTGAGGTTCTAAAAGTTTTTCTTTCTATAGCACTGCAGACTGAACCTAGGGCCTTGATGTGTCTCTCCCTAGTCCATTTTTATTTCTTATTTTGAGGTGAAGTCTCGCCAAATCACTAAGGTGCCCAGAGTAGGCTGGAACTTTCCATCCTCCTGCCTCTGCCTCCCAGAGTGCTGGGATTTGGATGGGCACTGCCATGCCTGGCCTTCTGAGAACCTGTAATTGCAGAGGTTGTCAGATCAGGCTCTGCAGTTGCCCAGGAACATTCTGGGAGTGTAGGCCAGCAGCCCGGTCACCTTTGCTAGTGAGTTTCACAGTTTAAGAACAAAAAGGCTCCAAAGAGTGACCTGCAGTACAGCCCAAAGAGACAGCCACTGGAGTCAGGCTCATCCTGCAGCACTGCCTGGGCCAGGGTCCCACAGGCAACTTAGACACACAGTGTCCCAGTGCTTGGGGCAGGAGGGCACCAGCAGCAACAGGCTCTGAGGGCACAGGGAAGGCTTCCTGGAGTGGGTGGCATCAGAGATGTCTTCAGAGGCCATGTGGAGACACCCAGGGAAAGAAAAGGGCACTGCACTCATCCGCCTGGCTCCTGTCCCTGGCTGCATGGGGCCCTTGGCCCGTTGTGGTTCCTTGGTAACAAGAAGTCCCAGCCCCGGCCCATGTAGGGAGAACCGTGGGGGCAGCGGCTGGCACGCCCCACAGTGGCTCTTATATGGGGGCAGCCATGGTGAGCAGTGCTCCTTGCACGGTGACCATAACTGCCAGTGGAGGCCCAGCTGCTCTGGGGCCCAGGCTCTGCAGAGGCACTGGAATGCTGTGGTGGCTCTGGTCACTGAAACCGGCACAGGGTGCAAGCTGGGAGCGCTGGGCCAGAGCCGGTGAGGAGTGGCAAGCACCACACCGGCTGCCCTGGTGCCGCCTCCTGCCCCAGCCCTGCCCAACGGCCTCTCTTCCTGCACACCCAGGGCCCTCCCTGACCTCCATCCAGGTGCTGGAGAGTGTGCTGCCCATCACGGCCCAGTACTGTGCCCCGAAGGATGCCTGCAGGTAGGCTGTGTGCATTGCTTGCCCTAGCAGAGCCACCCCACCTCCCAGGCTAGGTGAGACATCCTCTGTTCTGCCTGTAGGCCTGGGAACTTTACCTACCGCATCCCAGTGAGCGCCCGCACCCCACCGCACCTGCACCTGACCCTGCAGATGAAGTGAGTGCTGTGGGGAGAAGGGCGGGGCAGAGACAGAGATCAGAACAGAACCAGCCACTTGCTCATGCTGCATCTCCCCAGCTCCTCCTCGCCCACATCCGTGGTGCTGTGCAGCCTGACAGAGGTGGCGGAGCCATGTGAGGAAGGGGGCACCCCACAGAGTCCCCGTGCCCCCCAAGACACCCAGGTAGGAGCAGTGAAGAGCAGCAGCCAGTAGCCCCACACCCTCCTGACAGTGCCCAAGAGGCTGCAGTGAGAGCTGGAGTCAGCGGTGGAGGCCCATGAGGGACCCCAGGGCTGGGTGCATGCATGTCTTTTGGCTCAGCTCCCTGGTGGCATCAGGGTGGGTGTCAGAGCCACAGGGCTACAGCGGGAGGCGCTGAGATGGGGGACCCAGAAGGAGATATGAGCTCCTGCTTGGTCACGGTGACAGGCCCTCTCCTGCCTGCAGGACAGGTGGAGACGTGAGGGGAGGGCCAAGTGCACCTCAGGGGACATGGGTGGCAGAGCGTGAAGCCCAAAAGCAGGGGCCCAGGACACCTCCCTGCTGCCTGTGTGCCACCCAACGATGATGCACCAGGGAGCCCCAGTTTGAATCCAGGCTCTGCCATGCTGTATGGCTTACGCGGTGACTCAGGTTCCTCATCTGTAATTGGGAGGGAAGGTTAGGATCAACACCAGGGGGACAGGCAGGCTGGCCCACAGTTCCTCTAGACTCCCCACTTCTTCCTGTCTCCTGCTGTGGCAGTGGTGGTGGGGGGGTGGCAGGGACAGTGGAGGCTGCTAACCCCTTGCCCTTCTCTGCAGGGCACCTCTCACCAGTGGCCAGTCACCATCCTGTCCTCCCGGGAATTCACCTATCACTTCCGTGTGGCGCTGCTGGTGAGCAAGGCCCCTGTCCCCGGGCACAGATACCACCGCTAGTGGGACCAGGGAGGCATGGGACTCCCACACTCTTCCTCACACATGCACCCCTGCCCAGGGTCAGGCCAACTGCAGCTTGGAGGCCCCGCTGGCCACAGACTACTATTTCCACTTCTACCGCCTGTGTCCATGAGTGGCTGCGGTAGCCATGCCAGGGACCTGGTCTTGGTCCTCCTCACTGGATGCAGTGTTACACTGGAGCCGGCAGCCACCAGCCTTTGGTGGCCATCACAACTCAGCAGGGACAGCATGGAGACCTCAGTCTTCACACTGGAGCTGCCTTTCTGCCCTCTGCCTTGGGGGACCAGAGGGGCCAACTACCACGGTGGCCTCTGAGCCGCACTGCCCCCTACGGAGACAGTCCTGCCGGGCAGGCCTGCAGATACCCACCCCAAGGAGTCCTTGGGAAGCTTGGCAGGGTGACGATGCTGGACCTTAACTCTAAGCCTTAAGCACGGCCCTGAGGCTGCCCTGTGCCTTACATCTACTTGGTGCCTGATAAAAGCCACCTCAGCCCTCACCTACCTGAGCCAGGGCTCAGGAGGCCTGGTCTGCCCCGGAAGTGGCTCAGTGACGCTGCCGACCTAAGCCATGGAAGCAGAGGACCAGGCATCCTTGCTAGCGGCAGCTGGGCGGGGCGCACATGGTCACACTGCAGCTGCCCGCAGAGGCAGCCACACAGGACAGCCCAGGGTCGTGCCCCTCCCACCCTCCATCTGGCCCCATCCCCAGAGCTCAGACAGTTGTGTGCTGCCACCCCCCATACACCCCAGCTTCTCCTTGGCTCCCCCTGGTGGGTGTCCTGTGTCCCAGTGATGGTGCAAGGTGGAGAGACAGGAGTTGGCAGTTTGTGTCCTGGGGTGCCTGGAGCACCCTGTCCCCACCAAGGGTGTGCTGCACCCTGTGCAGGGGCCCCAATGGGGCACCCCTGTGCTCTGCAGAAGTCCAGAGTAGTGATGGGGCCCTGAAGGCCCCTTTCACACAGTCCTGGAGCACTTGTTGTGGGGTGGGGGACTTGTCCCAACAGGATCTTCCCGAGTCCTGCCCCTGGGCCACCCTCGGCCCCTGCCAGTGCCTTACAGCTGCCCAGCCCCACCCGTGGACAGGACTCTGGGGCGCCCCACTGGGGTGCAGGACCTTGGACCACAGCCCTTCAGCTGTAACTGGAAAGTGACTGTCCCTGCCCCTGGGTCCCTTTGGCAGCTCCCAATGCCCATGGGATGAATGCTGGACCAAAGCTACCCTAACCCCAAGGGTAAAAAGGTGGCTGAGGTGAGAGGTCACCTCCCTCTGCTCTGGGGCCCCCTGCTCATCCTGGGTGGTGAATAAACATCCCCTCGCTTCAGCTGTACATAGGGCCATTCCACAGCAGACCCCACACACCTGCCCCAGCAGCCTGACCAGTTGCCCCCACTTAACTCCCATCCTCTCGTATTTATCGTGTACCCACCCTGAGCCCACCTGCCCTACCCGAGCTGCATTTCCTTGTGTAAGTACACACGTATAAATAAATGCACAAAGGCTGCTTTGTATCTGAGCCTGCCTCCCACTCTCTTCCTGCGTGCTCCAGTGAGAGAGGGAGGCCCTGCGGGCGGGGACCATAGAGCTAGGCTTCTGAGATGCCACCTGATAAGGGATGTTTGGTACACACCCTGGCTTCACCACTGTCCACCTGGTCACCCAGCTGGGGAGACTCGGGGACAATGGAGCCTGGCAAGGGTGAGGGTCACTGCCAAGGTGGCTGTGACAGGACAAGGCCACCAAGAGCAGACGGGCTGGGGTGGATGCCTAGAGGAGCATAGGCTAAGAATGAGAAAAGGGAGCCCAGACCCCCAACTCACATGTCAGCCACATAGCCATCACCCCCAGCAGCAGAAAACACATAGGGGCAGATGAGTAACAGGAAGGGGGTAGAAGGGATGCAGGACAGGACTGTCATACATCTGCCTTTATTGTGAACAACAGGTGGAACACTTCTAACAACAGTAAAAAAATTTTACAAAAGCAAGGATTCAGTGAAGCCGCCTGGGGTACCTGAAAGAGGAGAGGGAAGTTAAAGCCAGATCAAAGTCCTTTCACCTCCTCTCGCTGAAACCCATGCTGCTGGGGAGGTGGCAGGCACATGACCTCTTCTGAGGTCGGGTCGCCAGGATGATTCCCTGTGCCCTGCTGGGTAGCCCATGTGTGGCAAGCCTGAAGGCCCTAGTCCTCCCCAAGTCACTGGAATATGACTTGCCCTGGCCACAGCCCTCCCCAGTGCACCCCAAAGCCAGAGGGGCAGGGCAATGTGGAGACCCCAGCACTGATAAGATCACCAAGGTCACATGAGGCTCAAATCCCAAGGGCCAAGCAAGGAACTTGTGTCTGGTGTCCCTCTGTGCAAGCCCGGGGCTGTGCAGGGGATCTGGGACCCACCAAGATGGCTGCCCCTGGAGTTGAGTGTCCCAACTGGCCCAGCTCTTACCCCAGAGACTCAGACGTAGATGCCAACCCAGAGCAGGAGGAAGAGGACACCAAAGCCCATGAAAAGCGAGGCCACCAGGGAAATGAGGAGCTCTTTGTAGATGTCCCGTGTGTACTTGGTGGAGGTGACCTCGTAGCTAGGCAGGGCCATTAAGGACAATCTGGTGGACAATGGAGTCACATGGAATAGGAAGGCATGGGCCCAGGGCTTTCTACCTTGAAGCCAGGAAGGGGCCAGGAGGTGATCTGGACGCTGCTGCCCTACTGCCCCTCCACCACTCAGAGAAAGAAGGCCCGAGGGACTCAGGCCAATGGCTCAGGATCACAGCACGTGATGACAGCTGGGCCAGCACCCAATCTCCTGACACCTGGGTGCACCCTGCCTTACTCCCTTTCCACCCTTAGTCCCCCAGCTCCAGCTTCCAGTCTCAAGAGCAAACTGAGTTCACCTGAACTGGAAATGACATCTCCACTAGCCCTCGGCCATCCCCAGCCTTGTCCTACTCTCACCTCCACACATACAGCTGGCAGGGTGAGCGTACCCTGCATGCTTTCCCCATCACTCACTCTGGCCCACTGGCTGATGAGGAAAGGATACACGAAGAACCAGGCGGTGAAGAACATGCCAATGGCCAGGAGCACCACGGTCAGGTGGGGGAAGACAGCTGGGTTGACAGGGCTGGTGTATCTGCTCATGGCCTCGAGCTCCTAGGAGAAGTGCAAAGTCAGTCACCCGAAAGCCCCATGATTTCAACCTGGGGAGCACTGGAGCCAATGGTCTGATAGGGGCCCATTTCAGCCTGTGAAATGTAGAAATCCTTTAGAACCCACAACTCATGAGCCACGATGGAAGCCACCCAGCCATCAACTTGTAATTCAGTCCTATTCTCATCTTCTCATTACAGAACCTCAGCATCTAGAGGCAGAAGACATCGGTTAAAATCTGGCTCCGCTGAATAATCTGAGCCAAGTAATGATGGTAGAGTGACAATGACCAATGCCGACATATCTACTTTACATGCTCAATAGATGTGTTTGTTTCCTTCCTAAGGTCGCTGGGACAATCACAAACCAATGTCTGTGAAAGAGGCCTGCAAACGACAATTTCTGGACAAATGTTAACTTTCATTGTCACCCAACAGCCACTGCTCCCGAGAGCCGGAGCATAACAACTTTAGAGAAGCAAACGGAGCCCTTTGTTCCAAAGGCATTAGAATTCAATCCAGTAAACAATGATGCACCCCCGTTCCCGAGGAGCCACAAGACAATCGCTGCCTTTCATTGGGCCTGCACTCGCCAGGCCCGTGTTTGTGACGGAAGCACAAAGATGAATAGGCCTCGTCTCAGAGCCAGCAGCGCGTCAGAAAGCGGTCACCAGAGGCGGACGACAAAGGGCCCGGGACGCGTGGCCAGGGGTCCGCACGGGGCAGGGGGCTCCCGGGAAGGGGCGGGCCGGGGCATGCGCGTCCCAGAGCTTCACTGGGACGTGACATCGGCCCAGGTCCTCGTGGGTGGGTACGACTCGGGGCGCGGGGGGCCACTTTCCAGACAGCAACCACAGGTGCCGGAGTTGCAAGCTCGCGGCTCCGGCGGTGCCTGCCACGCCCCTCCCAGCGGTAAGGTCGCAAAGCGGCCGCACTCCGGCCCTCAGCCAAGGGAGCCACGGCAAGGGCGTCCCCTGCTCGCCAGCTCCAGCCAGGGTCCCGCGAGCTCCCCGGCCTCTGAGTCCCGAGGCCTGCGCGAGAGAACGCGGCGTATGGCGCCAGCTCTTCGAAGCCTGGGGAAGCACCTCAACCCTCTCACCATTGCGTCCACCACAGCCTAAACTGTCGCTCGCCAGCGGAAGAACACGTCGGCTGGAGCTTGCGACTCGAGCGCCGGAAGAGGAAGTGCCTTATGAGGGGCATTGTGGGACTTGTAGTCCGGCGGGCTCGGGAGGAGTAAGGGAGCTGGGTCTGAGGGGGGCCGAATGTGGCGGGGTTAGGACATGCGGGGCGGAGGAGTGTGGCGGGATCGTTGGGAACGACCACTGTCCCCGCCAGCCTACGTGCCGGGAGAAAGCAGACCCGGAAGACAGGGCCGCACTACACTTCCGGGAGGCTGTGCGCGGCAGATGCGTCACGTGAGGCGAGCGCGGGCTTTGGAAGGCGTCGGCGAGACTTGAGTGGTAAGACTAAGCGGCGTACTCGGAAGAACAGCGCTCGGGACTCTTGGCACCACCGGACCAGCGCTAACGGCGGAGGCTCAGGTGAGAGCCCAGGTCAGGGTCATCTTCGAGGTGGCGGTGTGCGCCTTCCCAGCCGCAGGGCCAGTGCCTTCCGGCTGACACCTGGGCCATTGATGGGACGCTGGGCCTTTCTTCCCACGGAGGACGAGGATTGTCACTCCCGCCGAATGGCTCGTGGCATGTGTTCCCTAGAAGCGTGTTTGACACTCGTGCAAGGCCCTTCCTGTTCCCATGGCCGAGTGTCGCAGGAGGATAAACAGCGACCGAGCTTTGTGCACGGGGCTCGGTCCTCAGCACACGATCCCGCAAAGCGGGTGGGGTGGGGAGGGCTTCTGCAGAGCACCGGGTGCTGCGCGATGGCTTTTCTGTCTGTTGTCGCCGTTTTTCTTAGCACAAATCCAGCTAGGCAGGCGTGTTACCATCCTTAGTTTACGGATGAGCAAACTAACCACCAAACAGGTGGTTGCAGGCACCCAGAAGTGAGACCCAGCCTTGGCCGCCACTGCTGTTTCCGGGGGAACCAAAGTGAGGTGGGCCGTGAAGGAGGGCCCAGCCTGGCGAAAGTGAGGTCGTTTGGGAGCCAGAACCTGAAAGATCTTGATGCCTGCGGAGGTGTCGGGACTTAAGAACAGGAATGTAGCCCTCACTCCTACTCCAGAAAGGAAAGAAAGAGTAGGAACTAGAAGTCTCCTAGAATATTCCTTAGGGTGCGGGCCTGTGCCAGCATCAGCAGACTGGCCAGATGCCTTACCATGCACACTAGAAATCATGTCATTAATTTTTTTCAGTACTGTGGATTGAGCCCAGGGCTTCCCTGAGTTAAATCCCCATCCCTTTAAACGTTTTTTGATTTTGAGACAGAGTCTCACTAAGCTGCCCAGGCCTGGCTTAAACTTGTAATTCTCGTGCCTCAGCCGCCTGAGTTGCTGCAGTTACAGGCGTGTGTTCCCAGGCCCAACCTAAAACTCTGCTCACTCTTCTTTTGCAGCCATGGGAATTCAAGGCCTGGCCAAACTCATTGCTGATGTGGCCCCGGGTGCCATCCGGGAGAATGACATCAAGAGCTACTTTGGCCGCAAGGTGGCCATTGATGCTTCCATGAGCATCTACCAGTTCCTGATAGCTGTTCGCCAGGGCGGGGAGGTGCTGCAGAACGAGGAGGGGGAGACCACCAGTCACCTGATGGGCATGTTCTACCGCACCATCCGCATGGTGGAGAATGGCATCAAGCCTGTGTACGTCTTTGACGGGAAGCCACCGCAGCTCAAGTCGGGTGAGCTGGCCAAGCGTAGCGAGCGGCGTGCCGAGGCAGAGAAACAGCTGCAGCAGGCCCAGGCTGTTGGGGCGGAGGAAGAAGTAGAAAAGTTCACCAAGCGGCTGGTCAAGGTCACAAAGCAGCACAACGACGAGTGCAAGCATCTGCTGAGCCTCATGGGCATCCCATACCTTGATGCCCCTAGCGAGGCAGAGGCCAGCTGTGCTGCGCTGGTGAAGGCTGGCAAGGTGTATGCTGCAGCTACTGAGGACATGGACTGCCTCACCTTTGGCAGCCCCGTGCTAATGCGACACCTGACCGCTAGCGAAGCAAAGAAGCTCCCCATCCAAGAGTTCCACCTAAGCCGTGTGCTGCAGGCGCTGGACCTGACACAGGCGCAGTTCGTGGACCTGTGCATCCTGCTGGGCAGTGACTACTGCGAGAGCATCCGGGGCATTGGGCCCAAGCGGGCCGTGGACCTCATCCAGAAGCACAAGAGCATCGAGGAGATTGTGCGGCGTCTGGACCACAGCAAGTACCCTGTGCCCGAGAACTGGCTGCACAAGGAGGCACAGCAGCTCTTCCTGGAGCCTGAGGTGCTGGACCCTGAGTCCGTGGAGCTGAAGTGGAGTGAGCCCGACGAGGAGCAGCTGGTCAAGTTCCTGTGTGGTGAGAAGCAGTTCTCTGAGGAGCGGATCCGAAGCGGGGTCCGGCGACTGAGCAAGAGCCGCCAGGGCAGCACACAGGGCCGCCTGGATGATTTCTTCAAGGTGACCGGTTCACTGTCCTCAGCCAAGCGCAAGGAGCCAGAGCCTAAGGGGCCCACGAAGAAGAAGGCAAAGACGGGGGTGGCAGGCAGGTTCAAAAGGGGAAAGTAAAGTTGCTGCGCCCGAGATCCCATGCACTGCCTCTTGCGCTCAGAAGTGTAAGCAAGTCAGCGCCTGTACCACCCTCCTCTCTGGGGCTTCCCTGTCACTATGTCATGGCAGGAAGGACCCCCTGTAGCTCAGGAAAGTGTCAGCTCAAACCACCTCTCAGTGGACACTGGATCCTCTATTATGCAGCAGTGACAGCAGCCTGTTCTAAAGCAAGACAAGGGAAGTGGCGGAGGCCAGGCAGCTGAGGGCAGAACCTGCTGTGCTGTCCTTCCCGGTCCCATCTGCCCTCAGCCTTGCCTAGAAGGCAGGAAGCAAGCAGAAGGCCCTGCCTTGGCAGCAGGGCTTGGATACCCAGCTGGGCTCCTGGCGGGAACTGGACCTGCTGGCTGATGCATGAAGGCGCTATTCAGAGGAGTCAGGTGGCCCTTTGGGCTTTGCAGGGCACTCAACTGAGAAAGACTGGGATCAGACACTGGTATATTAAGCTGTTTTTGTTTTAGATGTGATGGGAAAAGAAAATCAATAAAATGGTAAACGTGTGGTAAACACCATGTTCTTTGCAAATGTCAGAATTCCCCAGGTGCTCAGCCCCATATAGTAATGCTCTGCTTGCCACCACAGGGTGACACACTGGAGTCCTCCTGCTGACCCGTGGCTGAGTGGCCACCAGGTGGCACTATGGCCTTCCAAGGCCACAGCAGTTGCCATGTAAGCCATTCAGATGTCTAGTTCATCTTGCTGCAGGTTTTCATAAATTCAGTGCTTTTCTGACACCCTTCCAGCCCGACCTGTCCCAGAGAAAGCCATGTGACTGAGTCAGGACACAGGCACCAGGGAGTCACCACGCCTGTGTGTAGGATGCAAAGCTGACTTCCTGTCCCTCAGCTGGGTGGGCGGACCCTTGGTATGGTGGGGGGGCTGACCAGCCCCTCAGCATCCCCTTTGCTGCCATTTCAAATTGAAAATCAGTGTCTCCAAAATCTGGATGGGAGAGGGAAGCATCACTGGCTTTCAAGCCTTTTGGATAGAGCATGTGATTCTCCAGGTGAAGCCTTAGATGAAACCCAGGGTGAAAGCAGGCCTGCAGCTGAGGCAGGAGAGTCCCCCAGGAAGCCCTTGACATGGAGGGAGGTGGGAGTCTGACCTGGGGCAGAGCTGTTTTGTTTACTGTTTTGCTCCAACAGCTGACAAAAGAAGTGGGTTTTTCCCAGATAAACAAAGCCACAGCATTCATTGGCCTGGATTTCTGATTCAGGCTGTCTACACCATGGGGGAGGGTGGGTGGGGCAGACCTTGGGTATGGCCACCCTTGTAGTGAGCTGTGAAGCGCTTGTCACCTGAGGTGGCACACAGGGTGCGCTTGGTATCCTGACTCCAGGCCTAAGGGCTTTCCCTAGACAGCTGTCAGTGGGTCTGCACAGGCTCCTTTCAGGGCCCACCTGTACCTCCTAGGACAGTGGGTTACTAGACACAGTGCCATCTGCTTACCCAGGATCAGGTAGTGTGATACCTAGGAGACCAGGGTACAGGGAAATGACTCCATAGGGAAAACCAAAGGTAGAAGGGTTTGGGGCCTGGTACCTGAGTATGGGGTCGGGGAGGACCTGGCTGTCCCGTCAGGCACCATCCTGGTGCATCACCCAAGTCCCCTGCTTCTCCTTGAGGTGAGTACAGAGGGTGGTGTGGGAAGCAGGAGCACGGGGGAGCAGAACTGGGACTTGATGACAAGCCTCTACTTGGTTAGTTAACTTTACTGCTCTGTACCACGGGGATGATAACGGCACTGGCACACAGGACAGGTCCTGGCCTGGGGCCTGATTAGAGGAAACACCCCTGGCCTGGCAATGGAGATGACGGTTGGTGCAGGAAGGGTAGCTGTGGCCCTTAGCCCCCATCTGCATGGCCTCAGGCGACCTAAGTGGTTTTTTTTTTTTTTTTTTTTTTTTTTTTTATGACCTAAGTGGTTTTTTTCATCTGCCTATGGCCTTAGGGTCTTGCCCTTTACACTGGGGTGTTGTGAGTCTTCCCCTGTCCTGAGTGGCCATGTGAAGCCACACTGCAGAGGCTGAGCAGGCCGCGGCAATTAAGGCACTGGGACTGGCGTTGGCACTCGCTGGCCTGGAACAGGGAGGTGATTGGGGCTGGAGCCAGCTGGCATCCCAAGCTGCTGATGCCACGTTCATGACTCGATGACAGAGCCAGGGCTGGGTCTGCATAACACCTCCTCTAGAGTGCTCTGACCCCGCTCCCAGGCTTCAGCCCAGCCTGATGGTCAAGAGGCTGTCCAGCAGGGCCTTTGTGGGGTGGCCCTACTATGCTGCCTGAATCTCAAGGACCCCCAGCCTGGGCACAGACCCAATCTCCACCCTATCTAACCTCAAGGACCCCCAGCCTGGGCACAGGCCCAATCTCCACCCTGCTCGCCAGCAGACATGGTCCCTGTTTCTGTCTTCCAGGCCAGACAGGCTGTGGCAGGGGGCAGGGCCGTGCATGGCATCCTGAGGGGTTCGGGGAGACTCAGGCATATTTGGGACCCTCTGGGAATATGAGTTCAAACTTTATTTTTCGCAAACTAGATTTAAACACTGACTTTCAGCATTGTGTATTTTTAAGAAGTTACCCTAAATTCCCATCGGGTCTCCATAAGACTCGGACACTGGAGAGAAGCCAACAGGAAGACGCTGGGATGCCACAGGCACCTGCACCCGCAGCCTTCCTGTCTCGGTCTGGGAGTGATTTGGGGACCCTCTGCTCCTGGGCATGTGTGTCCTGCTTTCCAGCCTGGAGGTGTTGCAGGTCACTCACTGCCTCCTCAGAGCCACAGGCTGGCAAGCAAAGGAGAGCCACCAGAGTGCCATCTCTTTAGGGAGGGAGACAGACCTGTCTGCTCACTTGCTAGTGGGGCAGGAAGTGAGACCTCTTTCCTGGGGCACAAAACTTTAGAGGGGAGAAGGGGTTCCTAATAACCAGTGACACCCCGACTTCTGTTTCCCACTGGATCCTGACATAACTAGAGACAGAGCAGCAGTGCCAGGGTCCTGGGGGTCAGAGGTCTCCAGACAACAGGCTGGGCCTTCCCCCAGCCCTGGCAGGGAGGCAGCTGGTTTCCACCTAAGCACTCAGGGTCTCGGCTCCTCTGGCCCCAAGCTTTGCTAGGGAGGAGGTTGAGTTACTAAGAAACAGCCAAGAGCCCTGCTCAGGCCCCTTCCTGGTACCCTGCACTCACCACCTGCCTGCATCCCCTGAAGTAGGGAAAGGAAACACTCCCATGCCCGCCTGTGTCCCCCATGCTGAGCTGAGCCGCAGTGGCAGGTCCCCAAAGCATCTATCCTCTTCCAGGCAGAGCAGGGGAGCAGCTGCCACTACTGGTGGAGGTAGGCATCCAGCCACAACTGCCCTGACTCCTTCAGCGAGCTGTGGAAACATGGGCCAACACTGAGCAGGGGTCAGAGGGCAGGCGGCCACCCCGCAGCCCACATTCCACAGCCCGCCGGCCCGCACTTACCGCACAATGTCAGCAAAGGCAGCAAGCAGAGGCTTAGACTGGTACTGGACACCATGCCGGGTGCACAGGGACCGCACTAGTGGTGCCACCTTGTGGTAATTGTGCCGGGGCATCGTGGGGAAGAGGCTTGGGGACAGCAAGGTGGGGCATCAGTCCTGCTGCTCTGCCCCCACACTGTTTCCCCCATCCTGCCCTATTCCCCTTAGCCCCACTCACTGGTGCTCGATCTGGAAGTTGAGGTGGCCACTGAACCAGTCGTTGAAGAAGGACTGCTCCACATTGCAGGTGGCCGCCAGCTGTGGAGGCAGAAAGGGCTCCATGCTGGCCAAAGCACCCGGCCCTCCCTGTGATGGGCATTGGGCATGCACACCAGTTTTACCTGGGTCGACACCCAGTCCATGTTACGGTCGTGGTCGATGTGCATGGGGATGTGGTTCATCTGCGTCACCCACACAAACCAGTTGCTCTCTAGGAACCTGGCAAAGAGGCACCCAAGGGAGCAGCGTGAACTGACCTGCCAACCCTGCACCCCTGCTCCCCGAGCAAGCCCTCCAGTGCTACCTGACGATGAAGAAAAGGCCCAGGAAACCCCAGAGGCCTAGCAGTGGCACGTAGGTGAGACAGAGGCGGGCGTAGAAGGTCAGCATCCAGAACAAGTCCTGCAGGCCGTGGGGAGCAGTGTGGGCTGCCACAGTGCCATGTCCTCCCAGGCTGCCCTTTGGACCCAGGGCAGCCAGCCCCTGGCCTGTGCCCACCACCACCCCAGCTGCCCAAGGAGACCTAGGACCCAGTGCACAGCCTTCTCAGAGCTCCAACCCCTTCTGCCCAGTGACAAAAGACTGCTCTTCCCGCTATCTAGGTCCTCTGCACTGTATCCAGAGGCCACACGCCCCTCACCCCCACTTCTTAGCCTGGAGCCACCCTGCTCTGCCTGTCAGCTCCTGGCCATGCTTTGCAGCTGGCTGGAAAAGGGGCTCCATGGGGGCCAATACTTTGTCCCCAGAACCCCTTCTCCAGTATCACCCATTCTGCCACACTAGTAGGCAGCGCCCTCTCCTCCTCCCACGCTGGCACAGGCACCCCAGAGCTGCTGAGCCCTAGCTATTGGGAGCCACTGAGGCTCAGGGAGCAGCTCTACCTGGGGCCTGGAGCCAGCCTCAGTTTCCCCTGGGGAACCGCGCCCCTCCCCCCAGGGTACTGGAGAACACTGCATGTGGGGCTCCCTGGGTCCTTACCACCCACTTCTTCCTCTGGATGACAAAATAGAAAATGTACCACTGGAAGTAGAAAGGCAGCAAGGCTGGGGGCCCGACTGGGAGGAAGGGAGAGGAGAGGCAGTGTGAGCAGCGAGAGGTCACTAGAGGGCCACCATAGAGATGGCCCGGCCACCTGTGCCCATTAGCTGCCTCTGTACCCCGACACCAGTCAACACCAGCATGACTCAGGCACGAGTGTGAGCACAGAGGACACCCCAGGGCCCTGTCCAAGCCTGCCCCGCAGCTGCCGCATCCTTGGGCCAGGACTGGAACACGTGTGCAGGACCTGTGTCGGCAATCCACTGCTCCCCAGACTGCACCCATGTCCTCGGACCTAGGAGTCACTGGTCAGGGCAGAGTGGCTGCTCACAAAAGGACGCTGTGGACTGAAGGTGTCACTTCCGCCCTGTGCCTCACACAGCCACTGTGCCCCTCCATGCAGCGTGGGCACCTGCGGCACTGAGCTACCTGGCTCCCGCCCGGCACCTGCTCTCCCATTGACCCACCACCTCCCTAGCACGGGCAGCCAGGATTGGGTGATTGACTGGGGCAGCTTCCTGCAATCAAATTCTTCCCTCCCTTCCTTTACAAATCTGAAAACTGAAAGTCGTGAGCTCAAGTCTGGGACACTGGGGCAAACTTAAAAGAAGTAGACAGCGGTACCTAGGAAGCACTCAGGCACCAGCTCTCCTCGTGTGTCCTGTGGTTCTGGCCCCTGACGGTGACTGCCCTTGGATGGGCTCCTCCCACTCTACCCCCTAGCACCTCCACAGTCTGTGCTCTGCGCTTAGTGGGGCCACTCACTCAGGAAGAAGTACTTGTGCTGGTGATTGTACGGCATGTACTTTTTCTTCTGCCTCCCAAGCTGTAAAGAAAAGCAGTGGTGACCTCACAGTCCCAGTCAGGGATGGTGCTTTCCCTCCCCAGCTGTAGTCTCCTGCTTGGCTGGTGCCACCATGGGCTCTGCAGGCCCTGGCGCAGCCCTCCCAGGAGGGATCCCAAGTCCTGCCTGTCTCCCCAGTTTTCTACTCTCAACTTCAGCATGAGCTTCCTAAAATCCTCTAAAGCCGAATGTGGCGCCATTTGCAGAAAGCTCAGCAAGGCCGGTGTAGCCTCTCAAAGGTCTGGGTGCAGTTCTTTGTACCTGATGCAGGCGGGGATTTTGTATGCCCAGCCAGCTCAGGCCTGGTGAATAGTCCCGTGGACACCCTGCCATCTCACTCCATGGCTCCTGGCCCCTTATCCCAGTGAGTTCTGGGGACCAGACAGCCACAAAGACTTGGCAGCTCAACCAGGGGCAGAGGCCAGGCCAACCTTTCACAAGCCCACGGCTGTGACCACAGGGCACTCGTGACAGACTCTATGGGGCACCCCAGCCAGCCCAAGCAACCCATCTGCATTCATTCAACTAGCACCACGACTCCTCCTATAAGGTCACCTTTAGGTGCTGAGACAACAGAGTCCCACCCTGTGGCACTTCTTGCCTGGGCAGAGGACGCTGGTGATGGGACAGTGAACAGAGCTCAACAGCCTCACAGTAAAGGCTGCCCCGTCTGATGCCCCTAACTGGTGCACTATGGGAAGGACTTTTATGGCAAGGGGAGGGGCAGGCACCTTTGCACATCCAGAACAGAGCACAAGGCAAGGTGGGGCAGCCAGGTGCTTGGAAAGCCCTGGCCAGGGGCAGGGACTGGTTTCTGCTCTGTGCCTTCTGGCACCCCTGCTGGGGACAGTGAACTGACGGTGGGGACAGGGACAGAGTGGGAGTGGGGGCCAGAAGGAGCGGGATAGTGGTTGAAACCAGGCAGGCAATGGCCCATGTGGAGGGGCAGCTTGAGGTGGCCTGTCCTCCATGGCAGTTCATGCATAGGAGGCTTGGGAGGTGGAGCACCCTTTCAGGAGCAGAGCCATGGACATCTGCCGAGAGCTGCCAAAGGAGGGGTGAGGCGTTCACCAGCTGTGAGCTTGAGGCCTCCAGAACTGGGAGCTATTAATTGGCCCTTCATCCCAGACTCAGGCATTTTATTACATCGAGGGCCGGGCATCCAGAGGGGGGTGGGATCAGTTTGGGACCCATAAGGGCTGGCTGAGGACACATGGGGACAGGAGCCCCCACCTGGGTAGGGACTGCTCCTGTGGGCAGTTCAATGCCAGCACGATCGCAGCAACTTTGCCCCTGGGTCTTGAAGGTCCCATTGGCCTTGGGTTCCATGAGAAGCAGGTGCTACAGAGCCAGCCAGGGTGACAGTGGCTCAGTGCAGCTGCCGGACAACCCCAGCAGAGCACAGCGGGTCATGGCGCAGCAAGGGGAGCAGGCGGGTACTCAAGGGTGCTGGGCTGTGAAGTCTACAGTGGGGCTTCCCCGAGGATCCCTGCACAGTGACGCTCAGCTCGGGAACAGCATTCCCTCCACTTTGCCTCCCAGACAACCTCCTTGGGACCATGCATGTGCTGAGGGCCCAGAGCTGCTCCCCATAAGTCATGTTGTCCTCCCAGCAGCTGCAGGCACCCCTGTACTCTGCCGCCCTGCCAAGAAGTGGGGAGACCCTGGGGACCTGCAGGGCAGGAGATTCGAGCACTGTGCCAGGCCAGCAAGTGCCGCCATGGTGTCTCCAGAGCCGCTGACTGACATCGTGGCACAGAGCCAGGCCAGCCACCTTGAACTCCTGTCTGGAGCTGGACCGTGGTCTCGGCAGCTAAGCTGGCAAGGTGGGGGAGGGGACTGGCAGGCAGCGTACAGGACAAGGGTTTTAAGTTAACTTCTCTTGAAACTCAGCAAGTCATTCAGAACCTCCTGTTGCCTACGTGCCAACAACACCAAGATCCTCTCTCTCCTCACTATTCCTTTAACAGCAGGTAGAGCCTTGGCGCTCAGTCTCAGGTGGCCACTGAAAGCTAAGGGGAACTGTGGCTGGGGAGAAGCAGAGGGGACTCCAGTCCCTGGGGCCTGCAGGAAGCTGCAGTCCTCCAGGGAGACTCAGCAGCCATGGCTCACTCCATCTTTCAGAACCAGGATGGAACCCATCTTGGGCAAGCACTGTGCACTGGGTCACCCAGTCCCACCATGTGTCCTTCACACCTCAAGATACTCGGGATGCCAAGAGTATAGCAGCAAATACATGGCATCGCTTAGGAAATCACAAGAGGAAATGGTCACACATGTTCCTTGCGGAGGGACTGCTTCTGTCTACAGAAGCAGTGCCCAGGCACAGACAGCCAATTGCTCCCAGTGGCTGATGTTCTGGGGACCCCTACCCAGGGCAGAAAATTCAGGAAGCATCCTAGGAATCTATGTACACCCCACAGGGTGAGCAGACCTTCCACACCCCCCTGCCATCCCAACCTGTGCACCACTAGGAGCCAGACGACCCTGTCCCTACCCTGCCACCCTGCCCTGCTCTTCCCAGAACTGCAGGCCAAGACTCTGACCAGCCTGCCAAAAGTCAGCCCTACACAGCGCCTCCCCCAGCCTCCAGGGCAGGCAGGCCAGCTGCTGTCCACTCCTCTCGCCCCAGAGGCTGCTTACCTCCACCGAAAGGACCTTTCCCAAGGCAAAGAAGAAGGGATGCATGTTGATGTCCGGGTCTTTGCGGAAGCAATTGGGCTTGGCATGGTGCTGGAAGTGCATGTGGTTCCACCAGCTGGCAGGGGCACCCTGTGGAGAACAGAGACTCAAGAATGGAGGCTGGTGTCCCCCGTACCCCAAGCAGCCCCTCAGGGGCCCCACTGACCTTCAGGTGGCCGATCACAAAGTGATGCAGCAGGTGGTTCATTGTGGAGGTGCTGAAGACTGACAGGTGGCCGAAATCATGCTGCAGCCAGCCGGCCTGTGCCTGGGGATAGGTCAGGAGGTGCAGTGCCCATGGATAGACACACACCCAGGACATGGGAAGAACCCCAGGAGCATGCAGGTAGCTGAGGGCTGAACAGCTGGGCACTGGGCCTGGCCACCATCAGCACTCAGGCTGGAGTTGCGGTTGGTGGGAGCAAGGCCCCACCAGGCTCAGGTTCCTGGCACGCTGGGCAGAACCCAAACTTAAAGCCCTTCCTGTCCTACAGGAAGATGGGAACCTTGGAGAGAGCGGCTGGAGAGACTCGAGGGAAACCTGATGTGCAAGTAGAGGACTCCCCAGGGGCAGCTGCAGCAGGGGCCGAGTGGGACTGTCACCTGCACTACGCTGAGCAGCACGGCACAGAGGAGGAAGGGCACCAGGGATGTCCCGAAGATGCGCAGGGTGAGCCAAGCGGCCACGTCCAGCAGCAGGATGTGCAGCAGGTACAGTAGGAAGAAGAGGTGGTCACTCCTCAGGAGCCCCATCTGCTCCACTGCGGCCCGAAGCTCCCGGAACTCATGGGTCAGTGCCTCCTGAGGGCCCAGAAAGGATGTAAGGGGAGGCAGCTGGGACTGATGGGAAGTGACAGCAGCATGCGTGCTGTGCCAGGGCCACCGCTGGGTCAACAGACCCTGGGACCCCTGTTGTCACCTGCTGGTGGCAAAATCCACCAGCCACAATGAAACGAGAATGAGCCACATTTTCTTATGTGTGAGAACCTCAAGCTCACGTTTAGCCTCCCAGAAGTGGACAGTGGTGGTGGTACTGTGGAGGCAGCCCTGAGAGACTCCGGGTGCAACTACTTGCAGCCTGGCCAGAGTCCAGATATAGCGAGAGATGTCACCTGTGGTCCCACCTAGGCTTCTGCCCTCCCTCCCCCGCCAGACCCTGGCTCACATTCTTGGTGGGCTCGAAGCTGGGCTGCTCCGGAGACAGCTCCCCGATCAACAGTGGGCTCATGTACTTCCTTACCAGGGCCTTGTCGATGTGGAAGGCCAGGAAGGGATCCTGCAGGAAAGGGAAGGGAGGATAGGAGGCCCTGCCTCTGAAGGGGCCCCCAAGGCCACCTTCCTTCCCCAGCAAGCCAGGTGAGCCCTACTGAAGCTGCCCTGCAAGATCCCTAGGGTGGGCTGACCCTGAGAATTGAGGCCTAGATAGAGAGCAGCCCCGAGCCAGGCCAGCCAAGACATCTCCACCAGGTCCCTATCACCAGCCCGGGCCCTGGAGCTGCCCAAGGAACACCTCACCAGCAGCAGGCCCGGGTAAGGTAATAAGTTTCATCCCTTCGACCCCAGTGCCGTGCCATTCTAGGCACCACATCGGGTGCCTGCGGCCCTACACAGCGGGCACCTGTGATGCGGCAGGGTGGGGGTCACCCCTCAGGGGCGGAGGGCGGACAGCGTTCCGGTGGGCGAGGGGATGGGGAGGAGCCGGCGCCCTGCTCTTTCACCCGCAGGCGTTGTCCTCGCAGTGGTCACTCGGGTGACCAAGTGACCACTTGGTGCCGGGTCAGGGGCGGTCCTTGTGCGCAGTGCAGCGGCTACCTGGAGGGGACCCCAGAGGCCCAAGCGCGCGCGGGACGTCACGCGGGGCGAGGACCAGATCCATCCAAAGAAGATGCGCCGCTTGCCGGCTCGGGACCGGAAAGAGACGCTGGGTCCCACGCGGGAAGCCGAGGCTCCGCTCCGCCCCGCCCCGCCCCGCCCCGCCCCGCCTGCAGCCCACGCCGCGGCCTTTGTCTGAGCGCCCCGCCTAGCCCTCGCCCGTGCTCCCGCGCCCCGCTTCCGCACCGTAGCATCCTGGCCCGCGTAGTGGCTGATAACGCGCGAGCCACCCGGGTGGCGCCGCGCGAAGTCGCTGATGTCGTACACCTTGCGCTCGATCACCAGCCAGCGTTCCCCGCGCCCCGAGCGCCGAGCCACCTCCTCCCATGTGAAGAGGCGCGCTCCGCGCCCCTGCACCCGCGTCCCGGCCGCCTCGGGTTCCGCAGCCATAGCGCAGGAACCGCGGGGCGCGCCCGGCTTTCTGCACCTCGACCCCCGCCGTGCGCGCGCCCATTGGCTGTGCCGCGTGGCGCGGAGCGAGCCCCGCCCCCATCCCACCCACCGGGGCGGTGCTCCCGCCGGACACGCGCCCCCTCGCGGACTCAGGAAAGGGGTGGCCCGCAGCTGGACTGGGCTCGGGCAGGGATGGAGCGCAGCACGGACTAACGGTTCTGAGGCTCCCCATGCAGCCTGGCTTGCCAGGTCCATGCCGGCGCAAGGAGGCATGGGCACTGTGGGGCCCGAGGGCCCAGCCAGATGTGGACATGTTGAGTGAGCAAACGGACGGTGTGGCCGGGGCCGCGGGTCTGCGATCCTAACACTTAGAGAGGCTTAGGCTGAGGATCGCGTACTGGAGTCAGTAATGGGCGGATCAAGTTTAACTAGCCAGTATCTCAGGATTAAAAATTTTAAAAGGGCTCTCTGGGCAGAGGCCCAGGATTCCCTCCTTGGTACTGTTAAACAGCAGGAACAACAACAAAACCAGAACCAAAACAAAAAAATGCAAAACGAATGCGGGTTGTGGTGGCCACGCCTGTAATCACAGCACTCGGGAGACTGAGGCAGGAGGATTGCTGTGAGTTTGAGGCCTGCCTGAGCTACAAAGTGAGTTCAAGGCCAGCCTGAACTGCAGAGTGAAACCCTGTCTCAAAAAACAAAACCTCAAAACACTTTGGAAGAATTAAATGGGCACTTTGTTTCAGCAGGGACACAATCTTGCATTCAGCACTCCCAGGAGAACAGTGGAGCAGAGCACTCTGGCAAGCTTGCTACCTGTGTGGCCAGACTCTGGGTACCTGCGTGCCCACAGGGCGCCATCTGCTTTGGACCAGTTTGGATTTACCTGGACAGCCCTCTCCCTGCCTCTCTGCCTGCTCATTTGTTTTCTGAGTTGACACAGGGATTTGGTCATTTGCGCTGTACAGCAGGCTTTAGGTGTGCGTTGTGGGGAGGCTGACTGGCTAACAAATGCACTGACTGCTAGCCAGCATTTCAGTGGGTCAGGGACTCACCTCAGTGTGCAGCTCCCCCCCCCCCGTCCCCCCCCCTCTGAAGTGGGCGTGGTGGTTAACTGTGATTACACACCGTGAACCTTCGGAACAATTCCTCCTTTCTAACCAATGTCTCCTTACCCTTTCCCAGCAACCCCAGGCTCTGGCAGCCACTGTTCTACCATCTCCTCTACTTTGTCTTTTAGTGACTAGATTATTCCTCTTTACATCCTTAGTGTTATTCGTGTTGCTGCTACAGCGGGCTCTTGTCCCTTTTTATGGCTGAGTAGTATTCTGCTGCGTGTCTCTACCATGGTTTCTCTACCCATGTATGCTTGGATGAATATGACACACTGATTTCGTTTCCTCTGGGGTGTCCCCAGTGGAGGGATTGCTGGCTCACGTGGTGGTTCTATGTTTAATATCTCGAGGAAATGCCCCCCCACTGCTGTTTTCCATAACCGCTATAGTCATTTACATCTCCACCCTCTGGGCCAGCACCTGCTAGCCCTTGTCTTTGTCTTGAATTCTTTTTTTTTTTTTTTTTTTTTTTTTTGTCTTTTTCCTTTTTATCAGTACCAGGGATCGAACTCACGACTGCCTGCTTGCAAGGCAGGTACTTTGCCGCTGAGCTAAATCCCCAGCCCCAGCCCTTGTCTTTGTCTTGATCACCATTCTAACTGGGGCAAGATGGCACCTCATAAAGCTCTGCTTTGCATTTCTCTGAGCACTGGTGATATTGAGTATTTTAAAAATAAACCTGCTGATCATGTTTATGCCCTTTGGAGAAATACCTACACAGGGCTTTTGCTCATTCTAAAATCAGCTTGCTTGCTTTCCACTTGAGTTTCTTGCATGTTTTGGACATTGACTCTTTATCCAAGGTGCAGTGTGCAGACACTTCCTCCCACTCAGAGCACTGTCCCTGCCCACTGTGAGCATCTCTGATGAGATCGCCCCTCTGTGTTTGCTTTGGTCAACATTCTTTGTCTGGATCAAAGTCCCACAGCTTCTCTCCTAGATTTTCTCCTCTTAGCTTCTTAGTTTGGCATCTTGATGTTGAATCTTCAGTGCGCTTTGGGTGGATTTTTGTATGCGGTAGGAGATGAGAGTCCAACTGTGCTCTTCTGGGTGTGGAATCGGTTTCCCCAACTGTCTGTGCTCTGAGACCCTGCTTTCCCTGCGTGCATTTTAGTCCCTGTGTGGAAAGCCTGCCAACTGCAGTCTCCAGGCTGTGTTCCTGGGCCCGGGGTCTGTTTCGTGCCAGGATCTTGCTGCTCGGTTTTCTCCAGCTTTGCAGTGTATTTTGGGATCAGGTAGTGGATGCCTCTAACGTTGCTTTTTCACTCCGAGTTGTTTGGGCTGTTCAGGTCTTTCAATTCCTCCCTTTCTGTCAGAACCTTGGGCACTGACACCCTTTTCAAATGCTAATGGGCTCATTTTGTGCTGGTTCCGAATTCATAATTCATGGTGTCAAGCTGCTCAGGCTGCTCTTTCTGCTTTCCTCGTATGGTGCACACAGGATTGCTGTGTGGAGGACACCACATGGCTGAGAGGCCTTCAGATCCTACTGGGAAGACAAGCTGAGAGGGTAAGGTATACCACACCCCTCAATGGGAATCTCTAGGGACCAAGCTGACCAACCTCAGACAAGTCCGAGTCCCAGCCACAAAGACAGCCTGATGGCATCTGTGGTCACAATCCTTACTCAGGCCTGACAGTGACTAAGGACCACTACTCAAGAAGTCCCCTGCCTCCACACAAGTGCCGCCCCTGTTCCGGAGACTGTCGTCAGTCATATTCACTCCTGAGCCCCGTGAAGCCATCCTCAGATAGCTTGGCCCAGTGTGCAGTGCGCGTAGCCTGTGCTTTCTAGCACCCCCTTCATCCCAGCTCTGCTTTCCTGCTGCTCCTGGCACCCGGCTCTGGCTCTGAGCGAGCCCTGCACACTGCCATCCTGCACAATGGCTCAGCAGGCCTGCGCCTGCTGCCCCAGAAGCCACTTCTGCAGTTTGCTTCCCGGAAACTCAAGGTCCATTCCTATCTATGGAAGCTTGAAACACCAGTGGTACTAAGTCAGGGACTTAATGTGCTTCCAAGTGACCTGATTTCCAGAGGAATCCATCTTTGTGGTCACACTGGTGGCACAAGTCACAGAAACCTAGAGACACACAGGTTGGAAGATATGTGAGCCAGCTGTATGCAGGTACGTTTGGTGTAGCATCTATGGAAACGTCTATGGAAACGGTGGCATTGGCCACCTTCAGGTTAGGGTTGGTGCAGTCGGAGGAAGGAAGAAGAAGAATATAGCAAGATACCTTGCGCAACCAGCCCCCTGCACAGCCAGGAGCTGTCTGGAGGGTTGCCAGTGGAAACTTACTTACCTTCTTCTATTTCCAGGTCGCTGGTAATTTTGTTTGTAGACTGCTTTGGCTCCTGACTGCAGCAGATATTATGGAAATGCCACTTCTTCACCACTGGGCCCAGATACTCAGCACCCATTCTGGCTCCTGGGTCAGCTGGCTCCTGCAGAGGTGGCCCGGGGAGGGCATGCTGGGCTAGGGCAGCCCTTGAATCATGGAGTCAGAAGCAGTGTGAGAAGGGGGAGTGGGGACAAGGACACAGCCTCCCAGGTCCCTCCCAGGGACTCCCCACTCAGGCCATGCTCACGGCATGCAGGCTCAGGAGCCACTGTAGATCTGAAGCCTGTGGGGACCTCTGGGGACCACTGAGATGATGGACCAGTGTGGAAGAAGAACAGGGTAAGGAAATCCTCCACAGTAGGCCACTTTGCTTGCATCAGCCCTTGTTTTCCTTAAATTCATCAACAAGCTGTTTTATAGTATACTTTGGCAATGTGATAAGGAAATAGAACAGGCCGGTGAAGTAGCTCAGTGGCACAAGCATCTGCCTGGCAAGCTCGAGGTACTGAGTTCGATTCCTTGTACAGAAAAGAAAGAAAAAGAAAATATAACAGTGTGAAGCATATACGTGATCCATGTAGACACAGAAACAGGTTCTGCAGCTGCTTCCCACCCGTGCCCCTGGGCTCTGTACTACAGTGCTGCTCCCTGGATCCTGAGTGTTTTTCTGACTAATGGATCAAGGTTTCTTGCCCAGATGGCTAAAGCATTTGACTCATATTTGTAAAGACTTAAGATTGTGTCATTTGTTTTCTTCAAGAAACCTTTTTAATTTTATTTTATTTTTTAATTGTAGCTACTTAGAAACATTCAGAATGTCAACAAAATAGCTGCAACTTTTCTTTTTTTTACATTTACAGAGTGGTATTCAGTTAACAGAATGACGATTATTTTGTGCACCCTGCATCAGAGACAGTAGAAGATGAAAAGCTACCATCCTGTCAATGACTAATTTGTGCTGTGTACCAGTGAGAACCTGCCTTAAGTTTTGAGCCGACTTACAGCCCTCTGTTCTGTCCTGGTGAGGTCAGCAGCTGCTGAAAATGCCAGCAGCTAAAGACACGTTCGGTGGTGTGTTGACTACGCAGAAGATACTTCACAGTTTAAAAATGAATCAGCCTTATATTGCAGTTTTTTCTTCAAAAGGAGTGAATTGTGCAAGGAGGGTTAAATACTTTATAGACAAAAACACTGTGCCAGAACCAACTTGTTCATCATCATCCTCTTCATCTTCCTCCTCCTCATCATCGTTCTCTTCTTTCTTCTTTTTCTTGATTTCTTAGGCCGTGACAACTCCCTCTGCGCTGGCCAGGTTCCCCCTAGCTTGGTGGGCAGAGATGGCCTTGTACTTTTCCTCCAGCCTGGCAGCGTCTTCTCTCGAGGCCTGTGTCCTCTCGTCAGTGTTTTTCCACAGTTCTCCCAGTTTCTCTGTTTTCTCTGTGATGTCACCAGTGGGAAGGCCAGGATGTCCCCCTTGATTCTGGGGCAGGACTTGGAACAGAACAGGAAGACAGCTGGAGGAGGCCCCTTGGGTGTGCTGGCTCCTTGCACAGAGAAGGTCTGGCTGGCCCTCACCGTTCACCTCTGAGGAGT